CAAATAAAATATAAATACGTGTTGATTTTCGTAATAAAACGATCTGTTGCCAGCCCTTGTCTTCTGTTGTTACACCGGTACATAATACTAAATGTTTAGTGAACTGTTGATTGTTAACACTTAGAGAAAATTCCATATAGTTCAGACTAAACAACTGTGTAATTTCCTTAAAGCATTATAGAAAAAAACATCATTGTATCTCGCAGGTTCCCATCATCTGCAGACTACATGAAACTGAAGTAGCTATAAAAGAATGAAAATAACATAGTTCAGTAATGGAACGATAGAAGAGAAGATTTCACAAAATAAGGATATCCGAAGTGTGAAAATCACAACAACTGTGATGCAATCAATATAAGTGATTCCAGGTGGTGACTGAGATGAATTCATTCTTATGAACTATGGTTCTCTTGACTTGTTTCCACTGTCTTATAACCGTTGTTGTTTCGTGTAGTCTGCATCTGATAAGAACCCGTGAAATATAATGACGATATCGTTGTATATGTTGCGAATCAAGGAGACTATATGTATGTAGGAGTTATTTTTTATGAATCTGAATATCACTGAATTCAGCTAAATGCAGCAGTTGGGCGATGCACGCAACCCATGTTCTATTCACCTTAATCTGTTAAGACAGATATAGATTTATTCTTCTGCCTCACAGTACACAGCACCTTTGGTTAAAAGCTTGTAGCCTTTTAATGCCTCAGAAAACTAGGAAACCTTCAAGCTGGAATTTTATACAAGGCAGGTAAGCAGACGGCTAATAGTGGAACGCAGGACACGCGTTTCGTCCGTTATTTAAGTACCTAAAGCAGATACCTATGCGGGAATTCAGAAATAATTATTTCAACAAATAACAAGTTATAGGCGTTTCAGAAGAGTTGGCTTCAATGCCGCGCTTAGTGGATAACTATGTTTAGCGTTTGAAAACATCGGTGGTGGACTCGGGTCTCAGTCAGAACAGCATTACTAATTGAAGTAAGTAAGTAAGCAAGTGATGTTTGGATTTTCCAAACAAAGTTGGATGGCTTAGTCAAAAACGTTGAGATAAGCACGAAATACCAATAGAACACCTGTTGAATAGGGTATGGTTATATTGTGACTTCGAAGATGCTAGAGGATAAGGCTCTGACATCCTAAAATTTAGGTTCAAGCCTAAGTTGTCTGTCTGTCTGGATTCAACATAGAACTTGGCACCGAAGTGCAGCAGCTCGAGTTGCCACGTTCCAATTGGCACACAAGGTAGACAAGAAGATGAGTGAAGAGAATCAATAGAGTTGTAACACCATCCATCACCCATGAAGAGAAACAGATACATTCAGCTGATGAATCCCTAAGTGGGACGAAGAACATATCTTGAACATCACTTTCGACCAGTGATAAATATATAAATATGAGACAAGTATTATACATGGGAATAGTATTCACTGTCACCGATGTCCTAAGTTTAAAACGACACACAGTTCAAAGTCTAGTGCAATAATATAGTGGGAAAAGACAAAATGGTGACAAAACAGATTAAATCAAAGGTTAATAAAAATAAAGCATTTTTATGAAGAAAACACAAGTTAAAATTAGCCATCCGAAAGCGAAAAAAAGTTTTAGCGTGAAGACACAACCATACAAACATATATTTTAGTGTATAATATAGTGTTTTTGAGTAAATGTTCACAGTGCGTGTATGAGTGTGTAGTGTTGTTTGTGTGTATATTGTTACTATATTTGCTTACTGTTCGGTTATCAACAACCACCTCCTGTTGTAATTCCATTATAGTATTTAACTATATAAATAATCAATAAATATAATCGATTTATAGGCAATATATCACATCATATCATCATGTACAAAGTCACAGTAAAAGCAATCAGACTGACCACCACCTGTCATTATTTGTCAGAAATTAACTGGTTTCCGAGTAGTTTAAATTATGAACAGAAATTAACTGACTAGAGAAGCACTTAAGATCAGGGTCCGGTTAGCAACTCTTCTCTCTCTCTCTCTCTTTCTTGAGCAAAGGGATCTATCTAATTTCAGCACATGAGCTCTTTTAACAAATGCTTCGACATTAATTTGATTTCCCAATTAGACGTACATGTATCATACTGGCTAGGAGTGGAATGCACAGTAGATGTCTTTTCCGATTTGGAATTAATAGGTGTACGTGCTCTCCAGTGTGAGTTTAAAGTGATGGGAACTGATTTTCAGTCTCAGTAAGAATATTGTTTTCCACTGGGAATAACTAAATCCAGATGTTGAGCCCGAAACAGAACAAAATGCATGTCCTAGATGCAATTGCTAGTCACCAAACGAGTAACTTCTGAAAACTCTTTTGTTTCAGCTTTGAACTGTGTGCATGGGAATAGAATAGATCAGTTTAACAACTAGTACTGACACTTCTAAGCGTGATTGTTGATTGCTGAACACCTAATAAAGTCAATGTGTAGGTGCTGTAAGTAGACAAACCAGGAACAAAGCAGTTGTTTATGTGATCCGGCCTCTTAAAAGATTTCTCAGCTGATTGTCGTTGTGTCACAGAAATTAACCTACATAAAGCAGGGATCAGAATGCTCATCGCTCTAGTGTAAATAGCAACTGAAGATGACAGTGACTTATACCGTGAAATCAGTAAATAATTAATATATTTAACCAAAAAAATAGTCAAAATACATCTTGCTTTAATTGACTTCTTTTATACTTATACATTAAGCTATCGATTATACATAACACTATATTTGGCCAGCCGGCAGAATTTGGAAAATATAGTCCATTTGCTACCGTCCACGTGCTCGAATGGTAACTTGCTCGTCGATTTCCAGTTGGGTTACAACTCTTCAGACTCATCAGGGAAACGGGTGGGAGAAGGCAAATCATAAGTGAGAATATTCCTGAGAAAAATGGCTCCTTAATCAGCTCTCAGGATAGACACCTTGAACGCTGGAAAGAACACTTTGAGGGACAATTTAAATTACCTACAGCCACACTGAACCTCCCCGACATCCAGAACACACCCGAATGGGATATAGACACTGGTCCGCCGTCTGTAAGTGAGGTCACAAAAGCCATCAGTAATTTGAAACGAGGCAAAGCGGCAGGACCCGACGGAATTATTCCGGAGGTGTTTAAATATGGGGGTGACATACTAGTTTGTAGATTAACTGAGGTACTAGGCAACGTCTGGGAATCAGAGACAGTGCCATCAGACTGGGGTAAGTCACTTATTATACCGATATTCAAGAAGGGAAACACGTCCTCGTGTGATAATCATAGGGGGATCAGCCTAACGAACATAGTCTCTAAAATCCTAGGCTCAGTAATCATGCATAGACTAAGCAGAACTCGGGAGGAACAGACAAGGGAAAATCAAGCAGGCTTTAGACCAGGTAGAGGGTGCATAGATCATATCTTAACTCTTCGACAGATTCTAGAACATAGACACACTTTTCGGCGTCCAACAATTGTCATATTTCTTGACTTGAGGGTGGCCTTCGACTCCGTGGATCAAAAGGTACTATGGCAATGTCTGACTGTGAAGGGAGTGCCAAGAAAGTACATTGCACTAATCAAGGCACTCTATTCAAACTCACGTAGTCGTGTAAGGGCTTATGGGGAATTGTCATCTGAATTGGTAACAACCAGTGGTGTCCGACAGGGATGTCCACTTTCCCCATTTCTGTTTAACTTCATTATAGATATGCTGATGGAAGTATCCTTAACTGAACGTAATGACTTAGGAATCGACTTGTTACCAGGGAATAGTCTTATGGACTTAGAATATGCAGATGACATAGTCCTGTTAGGGGAGGATGCTGACAAAATGCAGAGTCTTCTGAACACTTTGAGCAGCAATCTCCGTATGTTTGGCATGCGATTCGCTCCTACAAAATGTAAGATGCTGCTACAGGACTGGACCACGTCAACCCCTAACTTAGTGATAGGGAGTGAAGTGATAGAACATGTTGACCAATTCACCTATTTGGGAATTTGTATTAGCACCAACGGACTGGTTGGCGATGAAATCTCATCACGGATCCGAAAAGCTCGAGCTGCTTTCGCTGACCTACACCATCTCTGGCGTAGGCGTGACATCCGGTTATCAACCAAGGGACGTGTGTACTGCTCATCAGTTCGCTCCGTCCTTCTTTATGGTTCTGAAACATGGCCAATACGCGTTGAAGACATGAAAAGGTTGACTGCTTTCGATCATAGATGTCTGCGATCTCTGTCTCACGTTAGGTGGTTTCACAAGATAAGTAATGTTGACGTTAGGCGTAGAGTGTTGGGCAAAGAGGGAAAATCAATCGACGAGGCTATACAGTTACATAGACTAAGATGGCTAGGTCACGTGCTGCGCATGCCTAACCACCGCCTCCCCCGACGGGCATTGCTAGCTGATATAGGTGGTGCAGGCTGGAAAAGAGCCAGTGGTGGCCAAACAAAAACATGGCCTCATCAATCCATGAAATCCTTGACAGTTAAACTGAGTCAGGTAGGGAGATGCAGACTCCCGGGTTGGGGCCCTCGGGACTCCAGGAATCAATGGCTGGAGACAATAGGTGACATGGCTCAAAATCGTTGTCAATGGCCAGCGCAGATGTATTCAGTCTCTGTAATCTTTCATATTCCTTTCTACCATTATCCATTCTGTTTCACTCTTATACTTGTCAGACTGTATTGATTCTCTTCACTCATCTTCTTGTCTACCTCTGTGTGCTATTTGGAAGGTGGCAACTCGAACTGCTGCACTTCGGTGCCAAGTTCTATGTTGAATCCAGACAGACAGACAGGGTTACAAGTGTGTAGCGGGGAAGAGTAATTTCATCTCACCCAGAGTAATGGTGAATACCGATGAATTCCTTTGTCATAATTACCAGTAGGCATTATGCAGGAAGTAATCTAATCTCTAGTGAATGTTACCATCAATAAAAATTACTTATTTCCAGTATGATGCGTGAAACTCCCATTTTCAAAACAATAAACATATCTATCGGTTACTTACGTCAACTATCAACTTTCCTCTTGTACGTTTACGTTCTCGTGCCAACGCCTTCTTCTCACGGCCTTCAATTATCTTCTCTCGTGTTGTTCTATATTCTAAGGCGAATTCAGCTAGAATACGACAGAAATAGCCAACTGAAGTACTGGATGCTCTTGCTGGACTGTAGCCTAAATACTCCAGAGTATGCCGAAATCTGTACAATATCAGTGAAAAGAAGGAGATAATAATTATAATAAGCCGGGTAGATTTTACGAAATAATATCCAAGAATCTATAAGTTAAAGCTTATGAATTTAATATACAAAAGGTTGCCAGTACAACAATGATACACAGAATCAAACTGTCTGTCTGTTTTCGACATAGAACTTTGCACAAATGTGCACCAGTTCAAGTCGCCACACTCCATGTAGCACACAAAGCAAGAGAAGAAAGTACAAGAAATGCATAATAGAGACAGTAAGGAGAGGTGTGAGACAAAGGAGTAGTAATAACGAAGAACAATGTAGTTTCACTGGAAATCATAGGTCACAAGGAGTGGATGCATCTGCGCCATTGAGAACAATTTTGAGCCATATCACCAATTGTTTCCAACCATTGACTTTTACCGTTCCGAGGACCCCAGCCTGGAAGTCTACACCTTCCTATGTGGCTTAGACTAACTGTTGTAGATTTGATTGACTGGTGCCAAGTTTTTGTTTGACCGCCGCTAGCTTTTTTTCCAGCCTGACCCTATGTCCGCTAACATTGCTCGTCGAGGAAGGCGATGACTTGGCATACGTAACACATGTCCTAACCATCTCAGTCTTTGTAACTTCACAACTTCGTCGATTGTTTTCCCCTGTTTACCTAGAACTCGATGCCTAACCTGAATATTGCTCACCTTATTATGCCACTTCACACGGGAGATAGAACGCAGGCACCTATGATCAAAGACAGTTAATCTTTTCGTGTCTTCCACTCTCAGTGGCCAGGTCTCATAGCCATAAACGAAGACGGAGCGGACTGATGAGCAGTACACCCGCCCTTTGGTCGATAGTCGAATATCTCGTCTAAGCCAGAGACGGCGTAAACTGGCATGTGCGAAACGAGCCCCCTGTATCCGTACTCAGCTGAGATTTCGTCAGAGATCAACCCGTTGGGGCTGATGGTACTTCAGAATCAAACTACACACTTTGAGGTGAGAATTCATCATCATTTCCCGTGGGAATAAAGATAGCATGGAGGATTTCATCATGAGCTGACATCAGCTAGAGAACCGCTGGAAAACCTGGTGGGTGCGTACTGATGAAGAGTCCCAAACTAGGACGAAACAACTGCCCAGTACTCACGGCAGGTTTTTTCCAATAGTTCTCTAACTGATGTCAGCTCATGATGAAATCCTCCATGCAATTAATCAAACAAAATCCCTACAAAACCCTTGTACTTGGGAATAAAGGTATTCACATCTGCTAGACACTATAAATGCCAGTCAAAATAGCAAGCTTAACTATGTGATCACATATACTACAGAGTGTGTTATGAGTAGCAAACATTGCTGTTTGACTTGAGTAGCTAGCTACCAGCTATTCATAACAGTCAGTTGTATAAAACAGTACAGAATACGTAAATCACACTGTATCACTCTCACTCCCCATTTCATATCACGTAAATACATGAAGTGGAATTTTTAGCAGCTTTAAGCATACAGTCAGGAGTATTTGTCAAAATTGAAATTTTAAACTAATTTAGAAAAAAGTAATACAGACTTTTGATAGAAAATAAGCATCGAAGATAATAATAATAATAATAATAATAATACTCTAAATTGAGAGATTAACATCACATAGTGTACATAACGAACCACTACTCCTTCCCCCTCCCCCCTACTATATACACATGCACCTCAGTTGACGCGTCACTGTAATTAAAATCATAATACTGTAGAAGATTGGAACACGTGACTAGTAAAAGGGGATACACACAACTGTGTTTGGTACTGTACTACTTCACTTAACACATATATACTGACATTACTTAAATGCGCTGTTTATTGACTCATGATATGATCAAGTAGTCTATGCGCTGAAATAAACAATTTTTTTGTATTATTAGCATTCTCACATGAATTAGTTAAGCTTGACAATAGCGTGACGCCTTATGATCACTGTCAAATTATAATATGCTTCCTTGATACTTCTTTTAGCGTATTTTTTTGTTTTTTATGGCTGTGTACCCAACAGAAGAGTAGTTATATAGATATACTGTGAAGACGTGATAACAATCGTAATAGTAGCTTTATTTTACTGCAGATTTCTCAGCATGCAAGGTATTTTTACTTCATGTACAGACATTGCTAGTACGTCATTTCATGTCATACAATTCCATGTGAAGAGCACTCGAATACTGTATTCCCTCAGCAAAAAAAACAAAATACAATCATACCCAGTGAGTTCAAACCTAATTAAAAATGCACATGATTACAATTAAAGAATACAAGTGAAGTGGAGTGAATTCTGACGCATTATGTCGCATAAAATGCTACGTGAGTTAACCAAGTGATTTAAGCAAGTCACTGTTATTTAAGCTTTCAACGTCGGTCCGAGCAATGTTTTTTTTTTAAAAATTCCAGTACTACTGCTTAAATCTTCATCTATACAAGGAATATGAAAGATTTCTGTGTTTTGCCTGAGTCTACACAAATAAGTAGGTGAGACAGACCGATGAAAGAAGCTTGTTTAAACATTATATCCCAGTATCTTCGACAGTCCATAATGATACACTCTCCAAAGTGTATTCGAAACACTATAGCATCTGAATTGTTATGGTTAGGCATCACCAATGGAAAAATAACAATACTTAGATCGTGAAGAAAATAAGCACAGTCGGACACCGAAGCAAAGATGAATATAAGCCAGTAACAGCTGGTGGTGTAAGTTGTTTTTGTTGTTGTTGTTATTGTGTGGAACATATATGACATGTGGGCAATTTTGAATCATTCCATAAGGAAAAACAAGTCCATCAATAAATAAAAAATAAAGTAATCCAGCTATTTTCTTTATCCAAAAATAACAATAACAATAGTAAAACTTTTATTTGTGATAACTAAAGATAAAAAGAAAATGAAAAACAGCTAAATAACAACACAAAATTATGGTGTTGTTAACATGTGATGGTGCGACGGTAGTTTACTGGTAGAATTATCGCCAACCACGCACTTGGCTCGGGGTTCGATTTCCCTGCCGACGCACTCCTAATCCTCACCCAATTTAATAGGCTATATAATAGGCCTGGAAAATGGAAAAGGTTGAGCGTGAGGTTAGCAATCCTACCACCCGTGAAAAATAACATTGTTACTGAAATGTCGGCGAAACTTGAGGCCCCTGTTCCATTCAAAAGACAACAGAAAATGGTTTCTGTCCTCCTGAAATAACGAAAAAACAGGAGTCCTTCTCTATCATCTACCGGGTGCCAAATAAACTGCCAAAAAAACATTGAAATACCACATGTTCCGAGCAGTAGAGGCTATCGCAATTTGCGTGAAGTAACCAGTGCTTTGGGTGCAAAAGAAGCAAGTCCAGACACCACTACCGACCCTCGACCTTCAGTGAAAACTATAAATTCATGAATTTTTGTTAATATCTTTCCTAATTTTTCTGACATTCAGCTTATTTTATGTTGATGCTATTGAACTGTAATCTATTGATATTATTGATTTGATGTTGTTCATAACACTAATTCATACATGCGTCAGTGGCACAGTGGTTAGGACTCTCGCCGACCATGCACACGGCCCGAGGTTCGATCTCCTGCCGAAGCACACCCGATATCTGTGGTCGGCCTGCAAAATTTGGGCTACGAATATCATATACTGAAAATTCCATACTTGTACTGAAAATACGGTGTGGCATCAAGCTGTAATCAAAATAAATTCACTCACTATAATGTATATATAACTGTAGAGCCTGATGATGAAGTTATCGGAAAGAGAACTCTTAGTTTATTAACCATTATATTGAAAATTTTAATGGGTATTTATAATCACTTAAACTTGAAAGTATTTATTACCTTGCACTCATTCGTCTATAGACCATTTGTAAACAGATAACTCGTTCCATGGCATCAGTCAGAAATTCTGAAAGCCTAAAGCAAAAAAAAGGATGAAAGAATATTAAATGTCATAAAAATGTCATGATAGCGACTGCACTCAGTTAGGTGAATTTATTTGATATAATACACACAGTGATTTCCGATCAACATCTGGATGATGTTTAGAGTGCAATTTATGGCTCATCGTGCATTCACACAAACCGTTAACCTGGGTTTATACAGCCTATAACTCCCTTCTGTTTTTCCATTGTGTAATTTTTCCCATATCTGGTATACGTGTTGTATCATTTTGAAGCGATGAAAAAAGATTCAGTGAACACTCTCTGTCTCCACCTAATTATATTACTTTCAAATATTTTTAACCTATCCTACCCTCTTGTGTAGTTACATACAAGTGAATGCCACGCAACGAACTAGACTTTTTCTAAATTATTTAATTTAGCAGGTTCATTCATGCTAGGTCTAGCCAAATTCCTATGTCCCGAAAATCTGACTGTTCCGGATCTACTTGTTTGACCTGTGTAAGTGGACTCACAATCATTACATGGAATTTTTTTAAATCGATCTATCAGATCTTTAAGTCAACAAATTGAGGAAGTCGTGTGAATACATTGATAAGATTATGAGAGGCGAACTGTTCCCGAAACGTTGTCCAGTTGTTAATACTTCAGCCACAATGTGTATCATGTCGACTGAACTTATCAAGAATTATATCCTATCACAGTGTCTGAAGTCTACTCTTCCACGAAGAAATATCTCGATTGTATAACATTGTCAACTGATTTAGTCTAATAATAAAACAAGTAGGCGAGAACCACTCTCTTTTAGTACAACTCATTTCCTCGGCATTGTTAAATGTGTTGAGGTTTCTCCGTCAGTTACTGTCTACAAATATAATTCAATCAGTCTAGGACGATTTCTAAGTCAACACGTTAATAAAACACCTATTTATTCATTAGTAAAAACACAGTTTTATTTTGTTCAGCGAAGACATTTCTTTTCAGTGACTTCATTTTCAAGCTGTACAGTCGTATTTATATTACAGAATAAGGTTCGATCATATCTCCTTAACAATGGTTATCCTACAAGGTTTATTGAAAGTAACATCAAGAAAGAATCCGTTCATAAACAAATCACAGTGCCAAAGAGAAAAACTGTTTATGAGTCTGGCATTCAAAGGTAACACCATTTCGGAATTGATTAAAAATCTTTTATCCAAATGTATTAAACGCACTTTTTCTGCAGCTGACTTTCAACTAGTTTTTACCAGCCGAAATATGATTAGACAATGCGTAAAGGATAGATTACCGCTTTTGTTCACATCTATGTGTATTTACTCTTTTACCTGCTCTTTTGGAGCTGATTATATTGGACGTTGTAAGCCTAATCTCCGAAAACGTGTAGCTGAACACTATCCGGTTCGGTTAATGAAAGGTGAACGTAGAACTGCGAAGTCGGCTATTTGCGATCACCTGTTAGGGCCCCACGTGATTCATCTTTCAAAGTTAAAAACATGGCAAAATCGAATTGATCCAAAAGTTTACGTTTTCTTTACTTATGCATAGCCGAAGCTTTAGCTATGCATGAACAGAAACCTAAATTATGTGTTCAAAAACGTTTTGTCAAACCCCTTTGTTTACCTTGGTCATAGTAATGTTCTTTGTAGTTTTTATTTTATTTTATTTTAACACTTGAATTCATTCCACTTCACTTCACATCTGTATGTTGGTGGATGGTGGTGTTGTAGTGGTTTGATGGTTCGTGATTTTGACGGCTTCGAGAATTCATCGGTCTCGTTAGTTGTAAATTTCAGGCGTGAGGCTAGCAACCCCACCCTGTAAACAAAGTTGCTACAGAACCTTCAGCATAATGAACCTCTTTGCACCAAAAGAAAAAGTCTGTGTAGGAACATGGAACGTCCGAACTATGTACGAGACAGGGAAAGCTGCCCAGATCGCCAACGAGATGAAAAGATACGGAATACAAGTGCTGGGAATATGTGAGAGCAGATGGAATGGGAGTGGACTCACCAAATTGTCAACAGGTGAGTCAGTGATCTACTCCGGTCACCCAGAAGATAACCACACGCACACCGAGGGCGTGGCTATCATGATGTCACCAACGGCAACGAAAGCCCTGATACAATGGGAGGCGATTTCGTCCAGGATAATGACCGCCAGGTTCAACTCCAAAGGAAGGAAAGTGTCAATCATACAATGTTATGCACCCACAAACAACGCAGACCTCGAGAAGAAAGAAGAATTCTACAGGCAACTACAGGCAACAATGGACAATACTCCAGCTGGCGACATGAAAATACTAATGGGAGACATGAACGCCAAACTGGGACCAGACAATACGGGAAGGGAACTCATCATGGGTAGAGAAGCTCTAGGAGAAATGAATGAAAACGGAGAACTCTTCGCCGACTTCTGCGCCTTCAACGAACTGGTGATTGGTGGCAGTGTATACAAGCACAAAGATATCCACAAGGCTACATGGGTGTCACCAGACGGGCAAACCAAAAACCAAATCGACTTCATCTCAATCTCAAGGAAGTGGAGGCGCAGCCTACTGGACACAAAAGCAAGAAGAGGAGCAGACGTTGGCTCAGACCACTATCTCGTACAAGGGACAATCCAAATCAAATTAAAAGCTTTCAGGGAATCAGGAGCTGCAGATAGACCACAAGCCAAGTTCAACACTCAAAAGCTGAAGGACCAGGCTACAAAGGACATCTTCATTGCAAGCATAAAGGACAAAGCTGAGACACAAATCAACACCAGCGAAAAGGTCGGCGTCGAAAAGCACTGGAACAACTTGAAAACGGTGTGGAGCCAAACCTGCATAGAAATTCTAGGCAGAAAAAAGAGACAGGACAAACAGTGGCTCACTACGGACACTTGGAAACTAATAGAAGAGAGAAGGACAGTGAAGCAAAAGATTATCCAGTGCACTGACGAGCAACAAAAACAGGAGCTGAATGCAAGCTACAATACACTGAACAAAAGAGTGAAGAAAAGTGCCAGGGAAGACAAAAGAAAATATTATGAAACCATGGCAAACGAAGCAGAACAAGCTGCAGGCAAAGGAGACCTCGCCACACTCTACCAAACAACTAGGAACCTTTCGGGCAAACGTTCGACACAGATTAAGCCAATAAAGGACGACAATGGAAAGTCAATCACCAAAGAGGTGGAACAGAGAAAGCACTGGGTTGAACACTTCAAAAGACTTCTAAATCGTCCGCCACCTACAACACGTCCAGCAATACCAACAACGGAAGCAGAACTACCAGTGAACACTGACCCCCCGACGAAATCAGAAGTCCTGAATGCAATCAAGATGCTTAAAGCTGGGAAAACACCGGGACCAGATGGAATCCCAGCAGAGGCTTTGAAAATAGACCCAGAGACAACAGCGGACTTGATGACACCACTACTGGAGAAGGTGTGGAAAGAGGGCAAAGTACCCGAGGATTGGAAGAACAGTTACTTATTCAAACTTCCAAAGAAAGGAGACTTAAGTCAATGTAAAAACTGGCGTGGAATTATGCTTCTGTCCATTCCAAGCAAGATACTAAGTCGCATCATCCTGGAGAGAATCAAACAAGCCCTAGATGAAAAACTTCGTCCGGAACAGGCTGGATTCAGGAGAAACAAATCATGTATTGATCAAATCGCCACTCTACGGATCATCATTGAACAAAGCTTGGAATGGCAGTCACCTCTCTATCTCAACTTCATCGACTTTGAAAAGGCCTTCGACAGCGTCGATCGAGAGGTCATTTGGAAACTACTTCGCTACTACGGGGTCCCATCGACAATTATACACCTCATCCAACAGTTATACGACAATGCTGCATGCCAAGTAATCCACAACGGGAAACTTACGGAAGCCTTCGAAGTGAGGACGGGAGTGAGGCAAGGCTGTCTACTATCACCAATGATCTTCCTGATTGCAATTGATTGGATAATGCGACAGACAACGGCAACCAACGAGGGAACAGGCATAAAATGGACTGACACAAAAGACTTGGAGGATCTGGATTTCGCCGATGATATATGTCTGATTTCCCATAAACTGGAAGATATGCAAGTGAAAAGTAACAAGTTGGCAGAAGAAGCATCAAAGATAGGACTTCACGTGAACATAGATAAAACAGAGATGATGAAGATTCCTAGCCAACATCAACAACACAACAGACCACAATAAGCATAAATGGGAAGAACCTGAAAGAAACAACCTCCTTCACCTACCTGGGAAGCATCGTCTCAACTACAGGCGGAACTGACGAGGACATCAAAGCCAGAATCGGAAAAGCAAGACAAGCTTTCATTACTCTCAAATCTGTGTGGAGGTCAACAGCACTCAGCATCAAAAATAAGATCCGGATTTTCAACTCCAATGTGAAGTCAGTGCTACTATACGGATCAGAGACTTGGCGAGTCATAAAGAGCATCTCAAACAAACTTCAAACCTTCATTAACAACTGTCTCCGCTCAATACTCAAGATCAGATGGCCAGAAAAGATCAGCAACAGGGATCTCTGGGAGCGAACCAATCAGGAACCGATTGTGAAACAAATAGGCAGAAAGAAATGGAGATGGATTGGCCATACGCTGAGGAAACCATCAAGTGACATCACTAGACAAGCCCTCGAGTGGAACCCGAAAGGGAGGCGGCGAGTTGGTCGTCCAAGGGTGACTTGGAGGAGGTCATGCGAGGAGGAGATGAAAGCATGTGGACAGACCTGGAGCAGGGTGAAAAAGTTGTCAGAAAACCGAAGTCAATGGAGGTGCGCAGCTGAAGCCCTATGTTCCTCTAGGAACTAAAGGATACAATAATAATAATAATCACATCTTCATTCTTATCGTAATCATACTCCTAATTTTAAAATTTTTAGACAACACTTGACATTTTTAAAACATTTTTGATATCAATTCACTTATATAACAATCTTTAATAATTTTGTAATTTATCCACTTCAACTCTACGCCTTATAACATTTTAATTATCGTTATTCTTATCACATTTATATGTATATTGACTGAGCAATTATTTATTGCCACTTAATAACCTTATTCTGTAATATGAATACGACTGCACAACTTGAATATGAAGTCGTTGAAAAGAAATTTCTTCGCTGAACAAAAAAAAGAAACATTAATATTTACATGATACGACCTCAAACCTCCAGAACAATTTGTTTAAGTCATTTTATTCAGACATTCAATGAAGATTGAATTGTACCGACGGACCGTCATCATTTAATGTCAGCTTTGCTGAAGCGTACTCATCCGTCTTATCATATGGTACAGCTGAGTGGACAACTATGAAGTGAAATCTTTCCTTTCAGTGTACATCTGGTCACGAATTTGTTTCACACAGCAGTTTGCACCCTCGACTCCACAAGGGGTTGAACCCAGGATCTTAAGGTTAACATGTGGGCCTGATGGTTTGGCAGTGTAGCACCATAGATAAGGAATACTGTCAGCGAATATCAACGGTGGTGTCACTGTCAGCATCTGATGAGCATGCCTTACCACAATGAACTATTAAGGTAGTGAAGAGTGTTTTTATTAAAAAGGGAATCAACCTACAGACAGTCTTAAGGTCAGAAAATTTAAGCAGCAAAAAAAATAGAATGAAATTTTACAAATAGACGAGTGATTAATTACTTGGCATTTTTGCTTGACTCTTTTTCAGAACTGAATATTAAACGATAATGTTCCCATGCACGTTTACTATCTGTCTCTAATTTCTCCAATCGTTTAGGCAATTCATCCCAGTCAACACGATGACAGCGGCATAATGCACCCAACTCTGAGTGAAGGTCTAAAATTCAGTAAATTTTTAAAAAAAGGCAAAAAAATCATGAAGAAAGTAGGCACAGTGCGAGATGCAGAAAAATATCTATATTTGATTTATTTATTTTATGCAATATACAGTGAGACACTGCGTCGGGGGTTCGATGGTGGAATACTCATCAACCATACATCTGATCCAAGTTCGATTCCCGACTGAGGCTCAGCTATACCCTGCCGACTTCCATAGTCCATCTTAAGCGTAGACAAGAGTAAAGGCTGAGTGTGAGGATAGAAATCCTACCTTATAAAAAGAACAACACTGTAACTGAAGCTTTAGAGCCTAAGGCTTGATGCCCGATGTTCTATCCGAAATACGAAAGAATATAGAAACAGTGATACAGTATAATTTACAAAGAGACTAATTTAAGGCCCAGATTATCACCACATGGGCATGCACAGTAAGTTTCACACACATGTATGCGCAAACAGTGCCTTTCAACTGTTACATTTTTTCCTGATTTCCATTTTAATAATAACACTCCTCTCTGAATCTGGCTGAGATTTAATAGTGTGACAAGATCATTAGGTTAGATGATTGTGTTTTGAATTGTAGCCTTCGTGGACAAAGATGCACGAGACACAGAACATGAAGAATGGTGAATATTTTAAAAATTTCGGTGGTGAGCAGTCAATAAATACATTTAGGCTGTTAGCAATCATTTTCAAACAATGGAAACAAGAAGAATCTTCAAAAATAAATCTAATTCTACCCAACATTGTTTGAAGTGAAGTGTAATGCTTTATTTTGTTAATTGTATAGAACTAAGATTACTGCTAAAATATGTTGAAGCTGTGAAACACTAATCTCCAGGTTTCATACTTGTTGTTTTTTGAGTTATATTAAGACGCGTTCTCCTGGAACAGACTCCTCATGTGCCAGGTCAGACACCTGATGTGTGCAGTCTGATCACACTACTCAGTTACCAAGACAGAAGCAGATGAAGTGAGGACTCAAGCTCAGGGTTCATATAAAAATTCTTGAAAATATAATATTAAAGGGGATTTCTTCTACGTGATTTCGTCAATTCAAGTAATCTTACATTTACAACTGCAGAGTTACGATGACGATTACCAGGCATCATAAGGAACTATTTCATAATATGTTCAGAACCCCTATTCAAAATGTCTTCACCACGTGGCATTCTCTGCAAGACTTTACGATGCGATAGCTCTGTTTTCAGCTGACTTCAACGAAACAACACCACGACAGCCTTCACACAAAGCATACCAAGCCTTCAATGACCTACTAATATATCTTCAACTTCAAACACCTGCAGTTCTGACAATTTCATCTTGTGTGGCAAAAGTGAGACCAGTTCTACAAACAACAATGGTGAGGATAGATAGCTACGTCAGTGGACGAATTACAGTAATCGCTGATAAAGAAATAAATGTCGTACTCAAGCCATTTTGCATAAAAATGATCAACATTCCAGTATTTGTTTCTAATAAAAAGTAAGCCCCAAATAACTCTACGTGGTATAAAGGTGATAAGCAATATTAGTATATCTTACTTGGCAAACATTAGACAGTTTACATAACGATTTATAAATTTAGGTGAAATGTTGACTTGGTTATTGGTAGGACTCGAACTAGCGGCCTCCAAACTAATAAGCCGGCACTCTACCGGCCAATTTCTAGGAGATCCTCAGTGGTTGCAATGAAATGCTGATGTGGTTAGAAGCTTGGAGGCGGCTGATTTGAATCATGCCAGCAACAAAATAATCAATCGACAATAATACTCATTATATAAATACTAACCTGTACCATCAGGGAATTGGTCTAACACTATACAGCATACATGATGTAATAAACTGTTTTTATATTTAGTGTCTTTGACTTCAGGAAGACGACCCAAATAGTCTAGAGTGAATCCTCGAGCAGTTGAACCATTCAAAAAATTACCAATAGCCAGAAGAACTGATAGAACATATCGAAGAGTTTTACAGTTGATTATCTCTGTGACAGCCTTTCAATGTTAACAAATATAAAGATAAAATAGGAAAAAGACAGTGAAAAACTCCAAAATTTCATGTTAGTAGTTTGACACCTTCACATACGAAGTGAACACATACACACACACACACTCAGAGAATGAAAATGAAAAGCGTGATGTGATAGTTCTTGTTTAATCCTTCGTGTTTTTATCTTCGTTAAAAAGTCCTTTCAGCTTTTGCATGTACAAGAACATCATCTGAAAATCCATTCCTTCTACTCACATGAAGCATAAACTAGCAATTAATACTAAGTAGTAAAAGGGTAACTCTGGTATTCATGCATGCATTTAGCTGAGAACTATTAGACAACATATCTGAAGATCGGTCACAGGATTCCATCATGAGCTGAAATTGGTTAGAGAACCATTGGAAAACCTGGGAGTACTGCATAGCTGTTTCGTCATAGTTTGGGACTCTTCAGCAGTACGCACTCACCACAGGGGTTCGAAACAACGACCTTCTGGTTACAAGGCGAGCTCGTCGACCATTAAGCCACTGGGACCCGATCCAATTGCCCATGAATTCTAATTTCTGCCAATTCACGATATAGCGCAACCACTAGCCAATGTCTTCGGCTAGTATTTGTCCCCACACCCGACCTGCTGCACCCTCCTGGTCACGACTTCCCACTAAGAACCCCAGGTGACTACCTACCTGAATAGGGCCAGTCGCCAGAGAGCATCTCATTGATATTCAAGTGTTGGTTTGTAGGGATTTGGTTTATTGGTTACAGGATTTCATCATGAGCTGGGTGCGTACTGTGAAGAGTCCCAAACTAGGACGAGACAGCCATCCAGTACTCCCATGTTTTCCAATGGTTCTCTAACCAATGTCAGATCACGATGAAATCTTGTAACCAATCAACCAAATCCCTACAAACCAATACTTGAATATCTGAAGATCCCTTGGCTAAATTCAATTGAAGCAAATAACTAATATCATGTCATTATAATAGAGGTTTTTGTATTTCCCAATGAATGAAAAACAAAACGAGATTGTTTTTACTGACGTTTCGCTATTTAATGCTAATAGCTTTCTCAAAGTATTATTAAACCGGAATTTACAAATCTCAGCATATATATCATATACCCAATGCCCAAATTTATTCAAACCGTTAAAAGTGAACTTGGTTTGGACATATATAATATCATGTCACTTTAGTTAAAGCGTACAGATGCACAGCTTAGAATATAAGGTGAAAGTAACATATTCAATCTTAGGTAAATATTTATATTCACATTCGTAAATTGAACATCATGCACTAATTATTATATGAGAGTCACATACGAGAAAAGGCACCAACTGGCAGTAACGACTGTTCAGTCGATATACATATCACAGGACTGATGGATGGTCTATTAGCAACCAACCTTTACAGGGGAGTACACTAACGTCAGCATTTGCTTACTTCTAGTTAGAAGAACAAACCTTGTTCATTCTCTATGTTCCGGAGTTCTGAAAATCTGCTCTAAGGGCATAGTTTATATAGAACTAGAAAATAACAGTCTTAGACAACGAATATCCTAGGAGGTTTATTACAAGAAATATGGAGAAAGAAATCACTCCCAGCCTAACCATAATGACAAAAAAGACTGTTTATCAATACGTCATTGAAACGTGGAACTATTGCTGAAGTAATTAAAAGTCGTCTATTCAAGCCCTTTCAATGCCAATGACTTACATTCGGTATTCTCCAGGTAGTGTATGATTAGAAACAGTGTGTGACGGAAAGACTACGACTTATATTTATGTCTGTGTGCGTCTACTCTTTCATATGTTCTTGTGGAGCTGATTACGTTCGATGTTGTTAGCGAGTTTCCTGGAAACGTGTAGCTGAATACTAGATCGTTTGGTGAATGAAAGGTGAACACAGGGGGAATATGTTTTATATTTGTGAACACCTACTTGAAACAGGTAGCCCCACTTAGCCCCATATGATTTGTCCTTCTAAGTTGTCCACACAGCTACACTTGGTCACTCTATATGTTTAGGTTTTCTCCGCTTATAGCCGAAGTACTGGTTATACATGGATAAAGACAAAAAACTATGTCATCAGAAATGTTTCTATAGACCTCTTGGTCAAGGGAATCTTTTTTACTGTCGATAAAATTTTATTTTACTCCACTTAATCTCCTACTTCATAATCACTGTTGAATTTTTAACATCACATGACCTAATCTAAACCTCTTTATTGAACATAAATGAATGATTTGGTATGAAGAGGTCTAGAATTCTGTAATTCATCCACATATCCTATTGTCTATATTCATGTACAGAAAAACACTGATAAATTATATGAAATAAGTAGTAACAGTTATGTCAAATTACCTGTTTTAAATCATTCAATGGTTCAGCTATCTCTTTTTCACTTTGTTCATAGTCCAATTTGAACAACCATAATTCTAAACGCGGTTTCAAATGATTTATCGCCGATAGTGTAACTAGGAATTGTTCAGCTTGTCCAAGTGGTAAACCATCCTGTTCCGCCTTCGCCTTCATGATAGCTTCACATTCTTCTTCAGTAGGCAACATTGTTGTAAGAAGTTTCTAGAAAAGAATGATTGTTGAATAGTTGAGAAATGAAGTGTGTGTGTGTGTGAGGGCGGGGGAATGTTTTCTTTTTCTGAACAAAAGTTTGTTTTTTGATTTAAAAGAAATGTTGGAAAATACAGCAAAAGGGTGAGAAAAACTAATCATAGATGTGTAACATATATAGCATTAAAGTAAGACCTATACTCTCCCCCTCTCCTTTCATATCCTAGAAATTACTATGAATCATTATTTCATTGGTAAGTCAAATTTCGTTTTCACAGACAGCGGTGGAATTCGAGTCGAAAAGTTCAACTGTGCCAGAATGTGGTCGTATCATATCAAAAATGCACTATGATGGATTCATCTCGGTAGCTACCATTTCTTCTTGCATGCACAGCCTTGCTTAAAGCCTCCCTTTTTATTTGTTCTATGCTAACTGTTGTGGAGTGAACACCGACATCGATTTCGTGCTCCTAGTCAACTTAGTTATTGATTTCAGCGGAATTTTTATTTCAGATTGTCTCATCTGTCTTACATAAATGCTGAAACAGATACCTATATATATATATATATATATATATATATCATCTTGTATTCTCAATACCTACGTAGAAACCATTTCGATTTTTCTTGTGTCAGAGCAATATCTAAATTTATAAACTTAATTATACTTACTCATCGACAATAGATTACTCACACCTGAAACTTTATTTTAGTATCAACTAATTAGTGTACTTTAGTGTGGGATATCTGAAGCAAAATACGAACACAATAGTTCTTTGATTATCGTTTTATTTCTTTGAAATACTTTACTGATCATAGTACATACCGTCAAAGCAAAAATATCTACAGGTTGACTTAAAAACGTATTTTGCGAAAAAAAAGTATTTCTGTATTAAGTGATTCTCTTTACTGTAAAATCAACACTGTACGCAATAACCGTAGGACGATATCAAATTTTCCGTTTAAGTCACGGGTATCAGAGAATAATTAACTTGTTCATAAGAACATTTGAATTTGCCAACAAATTTACACAATGTCACCGACGTATTAGAGGATAATTGAAGATGGAATGGAAATCGGGTTCCTTGACAGTGAAAGTAACGGCTTGGTTTGGAGTCGGTTCCCACAAATCACCTGATAGCGAACGGAACAGCGAATTCCGAATTCACCAGTCGGAATTATACCAAGACGCAGACTTTCAACTCATCTTCAACCATAACACCCTACAATTGTGGTGAGGACTGGTTGTTGGTCAAAATCGGTGGACAGTAATTTACGTCAATGTTTATGCCCCCAATATTGGTCGTGAGAAAAATGAGAACAAAGGGTTTCTGTAGGCGGATACAGTTAACATATAGATGATCTGACATTCAAGAAAGAGACACAAAGAGATGCAAGGTTAACTTTTAGTGAGAAACAACCAATCAGAGGACTCTGTTTTTGTGCTAACAATTATCTATAATATGTACATGAAAATCTATAAATGTGTTGATTTCCTTAATTAACGATCTGTTGCCTGACCTTTGTCTTCTGTTGTTACACAATCAATAAGAGTTTGTCAAATCAAAGCTATCCTAGATAGTCTTGCCGCCAATTAACAACTTGTTCTTGATGATGTAATTCAGTCTGAATGGAAGTGATGGGAGAAAATTTACTAAGGAAGCTTGTAGGATTATGAAAACGAATGGTTGAGTATCATTCATTAACGCGACAGTTAGACTTTAGCCATCATAACTTAGCTAGTAGAGCATCAGATAAGAGTTTCAAGGCCCACTGATATTTGTACATCACAGCGATAATTACAGTTAGAAGGACAACATGGTTAGTGATAGGATTGGGACAGTGGGCCAAAAACTGCTGGAAATAAGAGATTAGACAGATAACTAGGTTTTCACTGAACATGGGCTTCATCCTGCTTCCATAAGATTGAATGACATACAACTGACATTTTAATGAAATTTTAATTACTTTAACCAAATTCTACTCATAGTGCATTAAAGTTGGGATGTGTATCATTGGCCTAAGCACTCGACTTCAATACAACAGGTTCCCAAGTTGAATCTCTCTCCATTTACTCCACCCTGAGCAAGTAGATAACCTCTACTGTGGGTAGGTGAATTCTAGGTGGCTTACCAGCTGACTTGGTAAATACCTTAAAAGATTTGCAGTTTGATCAATTGGTATTGGAGTATTGGAGATGATAAATCGAGTAAATACATAAGTCTGGTTTGTACCAAAACAAAATGTACATAACCAGAATTAATTAAAAGTTTTCTTTCGACAAATATAAGATAAAAAGATGCACTTAATATTCCTTTATTATTATAATTATTTTTTAAAAATTGAAATTACCTCAATTCCTTCTCTGTTAATAATAGACTGATCCATTTTTAAAATGGCTGAACTGATTGTACGCGGTGGAGGCAGCACCTTCAAACCGATATTTATTGCATTTGAACGTTTCATATCTAACACTTCAATCTTCTTTACAGCGACTTCTTGTTTCTGATTGTGTATTTCAAAGGAAAATAATCAATAAATAAATACATAACAGGCTCTGTTTTATGAATTATTCTGCATAACTATTAATTATATATATATGCTTGTTAAATCATGAAAAAGTAATGTTTCGTTTTCAACAAAGGGACTCACTTCACATTGATGTTGACGTCGGAGATGTTGTCTAGAAGGACGGGAACAACAACCTCTACAGTCAAACTATCTAATTCAACTATACCAGAATTTTCTCACCCTATCCATTATCTAATTAAGGCTTCATAATTTAGGGTATGTCTAGTCTTGTATATCATAACGACTTGATTCAGTGAGCGAACTCATGCAAGTCACCACTGTACTTCATTTGCTGGAATTTTCATGCCAACCAGGTTTGGTCTGCAGTCTCTAGGTAAGCTAAAAATCCTTCTCGACTATCCAACAAATATATGCAGAAGAAAATGGCGATGGACTGGATGTAATCTGAAGAAACCTTCAAGTAATATCACACGATAGGTCGCCAAGCGGAACCCGAAAGGAAAGCGATGAATTAGGCGTAGATTTATGGGTGACTGAGAAGTGAAAGCTTATGGGGAGCGTTGTCGCTAACCTAAACATAACATGGAAGGCTGCTTTTAAGGCTTTGTGTTTTGCTAGAAATGCGCGACAAATTAATGTAATATGAAGACTGTAGAAGAGATGTTGAGTCGATTAAATTAATTAAACTGCAGCACACATACACACAAAAACACACGGATAAATATATACGCGTCATGTTAACAGAAACCATCGATAGCTTTCTTTGTTTACAATACTAACTAGAGAAATTAACATTGTGAAGTTTAGTTACACAAAGTGCATAAATCGCACCGAAATACAAATACACAATAACAAAACAAACACATAACGATTAGTGTAAGTTAAATCAGCGCTTTCAAGTTACACTATTCAAGGCGAAATTCACTACAGATTCCTTTGGAAACATAAAAGTAATCGGATCACAATAAATGTGATGTGTCTAAACCCCTAACTGGCAATCAAATAAGCAAGTATGCAACTTCATAACAGCATGTACTGCTGACTGATCTGTATAGGTGACATGTAGTTTTGTCAATCAAACATTAAATGATTGCTAGCCAGACTGAATTGATCTAAACGCCTGACGTATGCCCTGCTAGTGTGAGGCCAAGCTCCTCAAAGACTCGTACATACTGTGATAAGTCAGTCAATTTTAGTCACACATCGAGATGAAGTGTCTAAGGACAATGTGTCATCCAAGCAGTGGTTATTGTATTCTCTTGGTGAATCAATCGACTGGTTCTGGTAACTGGTTCCACTGATGAAATAGTATACGAACACCTTATATAACCTTCTACATTCTATTATGAAAGTGAATACTGTCATAGAAAAGGAGGTAACATGAATATCTGTGTTCGAAATATTGAAGATTCTACGAGTTTAAACAGAAAACATCATTTAGCAGGAACACATGTATAACGGTTAATATATACTTGAAATAGAAAAAGAAACTAGAAACTATTATAACTAAAACTAAAGCGCTACTTATATTAATTAGCAAATGACAAAACAAAACCATGTGAACAATATCAGAAAAAAAGAAAAATTCATCAGTTAGGCAAGAAAGGAGAAGACAGAAAGCTAAACAAAATAGATCAAACTATTCTACAACTAGTCAGATACAGTAGGGTACAACTAAAAAAACAAGAAGAAAACTGAACAGAATTTGCCCTTTCTATGCAATAAACACAGTAAAGTGATCCAAACGATAAGAAGTACGGTTTGCTTAAGTTATAATCCAGTCACAACTGAAACATCGAGTTTATTATTAATAACTAATGTTGTTCAGTGCAGACTAAGTTGGTTTAATCCGGAAAAGTGCCTGAAATCAAATTCTAATTGTACTTCCCTTCCATATCCCTAAATTTCATCTCATTATATAGCTTCTGTATACAGACTGTTTTTCATTTAAAGTTGTCTGGTTTACTCTGAATGGCTGCTTCAAGGTTACTGAAGTCGTCACTATTCTCTAACTTCACAATAAATATCTTGAAGCACAGTCAGTGAATGGGTATTCGATGTGCCGACCCTCTGAAGAACAAAGACTGAAAGTCTAACCGATATGCAGTCTTTCCAAAGTAAAGTAAAACGTTTATTTTCAGTTCAGAAAGCAATAAAACGTGGAAAATCAACATAACAGGATTAGGCATGTATATAGCCAGGCACTTAGTTAAAGAAAATGTTACATCTTTTAGATTAGTGTGAGTGTAGCACAAAATTTTAAGGCTGCTCATTATTAAATAATTGTTAACTGCATATGAGTATGTACCAAAGTAAAGAAAAGAAATAATCACCGCAGTGTGACATCATGGAGAAAGACCGAGAAAAAAGGTAACATTACACAACGCAATATGTGAGACAATAAAACCGGTACCACTTGTCAATATTTTCACAAATATCATTTTATTTTACATGAAACAGTCAAAAGTAGCCCACTACAGTCACTTTCTTTTTAACCAGGATTAATAAAAAGCGATAATACGTGGAATAATATAGACAGCTAAGTGCATTTCGAACACAATTATCTCCAACAGGTCTCCATAAGATGGAGAAGAATGTTGAAAAATCTTCGGGGTGTTATAACATGATATAAATCAGGTTATACTATCGAACTGTAGCGCTCCATAATACAGATCGGTGGGTCTAGTTATTATCGGATACGCCTCAGAAACAGCTGTGCTTACCAGTTTCCTCACTACTGTCTTTCAATTGTTTTCTATTTTTCTTTTTATTGTCATTTTATTAATCCGCATAGTGGACAAAGTTTGTATTCAAATAAAATAAATACACAAAATGTGCTAAATAACTATACTGTAGAAGTTTTCCTGGTGTTCTTCAAGCCTTGGTATTTGTTTCACGAACGTGGGACACCAAGTTATGACCTCAACCGTCGACTACATGAAAGACCTTATGTCATCTTTAGATTCCGTCTGAAACAGTTCTACCCTAAGAAACACTGCACAATGCTGTGTTACTTAACATGCATAGAAAAGCTGCCAAAGTATATAAATAAATATGAGTATCAAGTACCATAGTAGTATGACTTTTCTCTTTTCCTCTGAAACTTTCAGACTGAATTTTTAATTAATTATACCGGTTAATTAATAAACTTGTTTTTTTTTAAATATTATTACCACATAGTTCCCATTTTAAATTATCATACCTGATAATCGGATAGTAGGATAGAGGTTCAATCCTAAGCAGTTGAACTTGAAATCCTTAAGAGTCATTTGAATAGTTCACTCAGACTATACATAAATAATGCAGATGAATTAACTTCTGTTTATATCTGTGTTGATAATTCATGTGTCACACAATCAATACAAATTAAATGAATTGCAACGAGGAGTGCAGCAATTAGACAGAGATTTTTATAGCAAGTATATATATATATATATATATATATATATATATCATTCCATTTGCGTCCTGACCGTCAACATAGGGCTCTAGGCTTCAAACCATGGAGTTTGCGTGGCTGTGGTGTTCTCTTTACGCGGTGGATTTGTCAGCATGTGAGTAAACTTTGCTGTGCCCTAGACTTACTATCAGGCAGCAAAATTGGTCGGGTTTTAGGAATGGAGACCATCGGGAATATATTATCCAGGACCAAGTGCATGGTTGACGAGCATTCTGCCACTGAACTGTCGACGCAGATAGAGAATGAAACCATCTTTAGGAGGATTGGACTGTCAGGCTACTTAACACTGATGTAAAGCAGTCTTATTCGCAGCTGTATTCGGAATAATAATAATACCAAGGACACCAGTTTAAATTTGTATTATTCTGCTGAAGTGACCTTGATTTTGTTTTCGAAATGCACGTGATGATGAAAAAAATGGTACTTTACAGAAGATAAAAGCTCAAGAAGACAACAGTGCTGGTGAAGGGACAGAATTTGTTTTGTTTTGTTTTTCTTCAACAACAAAAAATATGTCTAAATGAAAATGACAATAACTGTGACACTATCAAGTTGGACAAAACAAGGATAACATAGAAAATCTCTTAAATCCAGTTACTGTATAGAAGGAAAATCGACTCCACCCAGATGTTATGCTTTCTGGTGATAATCCGTAGAGTGTTTCAACAGTCTTGAAGAAAATTTTCTCTTTTCTATGATTTAAACTGGTGTCACCGATTTCCACGGCCAGGCTGTCAAAGTGACAACTGAGAGACTTTATGACTGAATTTGTATGTGGCTACCGAATGGCGATCTAGTCATCTTGAGTGCGTCAAATGAAATCTACTGATTACTAGGCTTACTGACATTATACAGTTAGTGAATGGTGATGAATGCTAACCTCATACTAGGTTTAAAAATGGAATAGTTCGTAGGAGGTCTAGCTGCTACTTTACTTTCACAGCCTAGTGGTCTTTAGATGAATATGTTTAAAATGAACAAGGCTATTCTCATGTTAACTCTTTAAAAGGTAACAACAACACGAAATCATCGGAATTGGGAAATGTGTTTACGGTGACACAAAACAGAATAATAGTTGAATGATATTACCAACTATTGTGATATAATTATTAGAATAATGAGATAACGTGCAGGCATTGTCATTTAATTTTGGTAGGGTAAAAGTCAAAACATTTCTAATAAAGTGTTAGATAAGATAAGAGGTGATAAGGAATAGTAGCAATTCTTACAAACACATACACTCTCGTTCACTTTGCTTCACACCAAATTACGTAACTATTATAGACACTAAAGTCATGTAGAATATGGGATTATCGGTTGCATACATTTGTTACACATGTATATATATGTCTCTATATGTATACATAAATACGTTCAGGGACTGGCATACATAGTCAGTAAGGACAATGAAGAATAAAGGGCAACAGACTGTCAAAGAACTATATATATATATATATATATATCCAAATATAAGTGTTTGTATAATATATATATATGGTTTAGGTAATAACAGGCATAAAAGACAGGTATATATATGTGTATATATAGAGAGAGATTGAGGGTTTCGGTTATACATATACACAAATATGCAATCAAATAGTTATTTTCTGTGTTAAAATGTTTAGTAAAAAAAAGGTTGAACAATCTAAGTTACAAGCAACTATAGCATAAAAGTGTGGTAAGTGAACACGCTAATGGACACACACGTACACACACACACACACACACGGAAAAGTATATAGGCAGATTGATAAACAGGTAGGTAGGTAGGTAGATAGGGAGGGAGGGAGATAGGTAGGTATACACCCTAAATGACTGATACTGTAATATAGTATGTTTTGTACTTAAAAAATATATATGTATACATATATATATAAGTTCAGGTAAAATCTATGCTTAACAAACGATACAATATACTGCTATGTGTTATCGTAATCATGCACTTACCAGTTCCTTGTTTTTGTTTGTTCAAAAGGTATTTTACAAAAATGACAAACAGATAAATAAATAAAGTTAAAAAGAAATCTATAGAGATATTTTATTTTATTACATTATATTATATGCGATATTGGAATAGTAAGGAATTCTCATGCGACAATGATGGTTGTCAAAATTCAAAATTTATATAGAAAGAACAATTTCTCTACAACACTAGCCTATATTGGTTTTGACAAAAAAAAACAAAGACAAAAGTGATTTTTTTCTTCAGAAAGTTCACCTTAAAGTTGTTTATTGTCGTCTTACAGGACAATTGATTTGACATCGGTTAAATTAAACAGTCGATGTACACAAGTCACTGCATAGCCTTTTTGGTAAGCTGTACTTTCAGCAGTGTTCACACACGGGACTGCTGACCAAGATTGTTTAAGTCTTGAGTATGTCAACTATACATGCACCATTGATGGAAAAACAGATGAGAAGAGTTAATGTGTTGACTGTGTGGGCATTCAACTGATTATTTGGACGAGATATTCATCAAGAGAATTGCCTAAGACTGGTAACTAATTTAAAGCTACTTTATAGTAGTGCTGAGTGTGATAAGTACCTACTGATCATTGATCGATAAGACTACAACATAAAACGGTGGAGATGATCCACCGACAAATTCCTGTCTACCGATTAAAATAATTACATATTGACAGTTGTATCATAACCTAATGACGTTAGACGTCCTCCCTTGACAGCTTATGCTTGAACACACATGTGTATTTCAACCATGAAAGAAGCGAGCATACAGTACTTTCAGAGAGTCAGTCGTTCACTGGTCAGTTTCTGCGATTAGTAAGATTTCTAATGCATATTTATTTAGCACTGAACTCATATGTTAAAGCTTTTACTGTTAGATCAATTGGTTTTTAAGCAAGTTAAATTTCGATAACTGAGTTGTAGATTATTTCTCATGGAATGTTTCAGTAGTCATCTGTCTATATTTTATTTGTCAAAGCTTAGTGAACAAGTTGTTTTAAACTACTATTATTCAGCAGTAACATGCATGCAATGAATACCAGTCGATATCCACCACTTAAAGTGTGAATGACACAAACTTACCAAAAAAGAAACGATTATAAGTAGTATAAAAAAATAGAACCCATAAATATTTGCACTAGTAACACTGAAAAATATGAAATGATAAGCTTATCAGATGAGATCATTCATAGTCATAGCACATTTGTACCACAGTGTACCTGTAGCATAGGAATTCAGTCTTTCAAGTATATATGTCGTTTTTTCGTCCGTTTGAGTACTCATCAGGTGAAGTGTATTCTAATGCATGCTTCAAAATAACATTCAGTAGGGACTTTCCATATTAGTCGCATTCCAGTATTAAACAAGTAGCTAACATCATTATCCAACTGTATAGAGGGTAATAAGAATATAAAATACAGTCTGGTAAAAATAAGCGGGAAAGACAATAACGTTTCATTATTTTTTTGTGATGAGCGCTGCTAGTTGTAGTGTATCGAACAGGTCAGCGAAATTGACGTCAACTTGAAGCCAACTCCACGCTTAGTAAGATTTATATTTCTACTTCTGAAGAGATAATACTGACTTTATTTTCTTTTTCTAGGTTGGGAAGTATGTTTCAATCCCCATAAATTAGTATTCACATTTTTAACAAAAGAAGTTCCATTCCAAATGCAAGGGAATAAAGTAGATAAAATAATAAATACGGGAAATATCTTCAGCACCCATATTTTGCCTTATTTCACTATTTAAATTACACACATATCAATCAAGTAACAGATTTAGCTTGTATTTCGAGCTAGTCAAGCATAATTAACAGTAGAAAAGCTTATACTCCTTCCATGTTATTTAGGCTAAAGTTATTCGAATGGAATTTAAGCCTGAAACCTAATGAGTAGCCTCTTGACCACACTGAAGATGTTGATATCCATCTAGAGACTGACTGTTCACATCTTAGACCAGTATGCAACAGATTTTGTAATGACTGGTCACTAGACAGCAACTAACATTATGAGTTTAGTCCTTAGTGTTGATGCTATACCTTAATTCTGTCAATCAAGCTTAGGAACTCGTCATCAGGGAGCACTTAGGATTATTATCAGATGCAGTCGGTAGCAATCCATAGATCAAGTTTTCGTGTTTGTTGGTAACGGTCAGCAAGGGCGCGGGGCGGGGACTGATTGTTCTTGAGAAGTTCAAAAAGGCTTCACCAGGTGCTGCAGTCAAGAGATGAATAGTTTATCAGAAATATTTTTGACTGTGGAACCAGATGAGGTGGGTTTAAGTTTCCCATGTGGCATAAGTTAGTGCTTCAGAGGCTGCAGATACATCTTGCTGACGAGTTTCAGTCCGAAACTTACTGCCAACTGCTTCCAACAATCTAACAGTGGGTATCACAGTCTATAAAGTATTCTTGTTATAATAACTAAATTCTTGGATTATAAACCCTGAACACTGAGTAAGCGATTTGTCGTGTGTAAAAAACGCGACTACGACTACCTATACCTTCTGATAACCCTGTCAATTAATGCCTTTCAATATAGATTACTTGAACAGTAATTACTTGAACAAACAGTAATATAATTGAAAATTTGATCATTATGCATAGTGATATATAGCATACCTTTATTTTTACATCAGCAGAACGATTTTCAAATGTTTCTTCCAAAAAGTCTGGATCTAGTTTCACGGGTACAAGTTCTGACCATACAGTCGATTTTGCAATATCTTTAATATCTTTTTTAACTTCTTTATTCGCTTGCTTAGTCGACAGAGACGACAAAAATCTACTACCTACACCAGAAACAGTGTCTGGTTTATCAATAGATGTTTGTGGTTTAACTGCTGCAATCATTTTCAAGTCTTTCGGTGTTGGTTTCCACTCAGTCCAATGGAGACGAATAGTTTTTTTTGACTTGGGAAGCTCTGTACCAGGAGCTGGTGGTAGGTTGGATGGAACACCTGTTTGTCCGGCGACACCAGGAGCGGGTGGTGGGGGAGGAGGACCACCTAGACAGAGAAAAGGAAGAAAAGGTTGGGCATGACATAAAACTGAAATAAACAAACTCAGCAACATGCTAGGTTGAACATCCATGTTAAGTTCAAAGCATATGGAAATGTTAAAAGGAGACATAGAAGAAGGGAGAATTTTTGAAGAAATGACACCGCATTTACTTCAAGAAAATTTTGAAGACGAAATTATAATTCGGATCCGTCGATTAAATCAATTCGCCTATCAGTAAACAACAAACAACACACAATTTTGTCCAGCCGTGCAATTTCAGCTGGGCTGAAACACAGACAAGGGTAGTTAGACTAAAACGTGATATTAATCGATGGAATCTTTACCTGCTGGTTTCAAGCACACAGTGAGAGGTGGTGTAGTCTGTTTGCCTCTGGTCTTCAAATATTTAGGAACCAGTGGCTGTAAACATTTGGTTACATGGCTCAAAATCGTCCTGAGTACTGCAGATGCACCCGCTTTTTTTGGTTTGTTCGAACCATTACATTTTTAGTGTACCTCATGTATTTATTCATTTCTGCAATTCCAAATTTTTAGTTTATTCGAATCCGTCCTATCTTTTTTGACACTTAAGTGTTTTTTTTCGAAGTATAGAGAACTGAACAGCTGCACTTCTTTGAAAAGTTCTATGTTGAAAGTTCACTTTGGTTCAAACTTCGAAAACGCACCAAAAAAATGAAAATAAGCAGAATAGCAATCATAATACAATTTGTGTGAGGAAGAATGAAAACTTGAATAGTGCTCATTTTAGTTACTAAAATTATTAAGTGGCACGGTAATATATGCTGAGATTTAGTAATATTTTGAAAGGTTTAAAACTGTATCAACAAACACTCAACAAATACTACATAACTACATATCATACATAATAGTTAATTTTATATACAGCAGTAAAACGCATTACCTAGTCCAGGAGGAGGTGGAGGGGGAGCACCTCCTGGAGGTGGTGGTGGTGGTGGTGGGGGAGGTGCACCAAAACCACCTCCAGGTGGTGGTGGCGGTGGAGGAGGGAGATTGAGACCAAGTGGTGGCGGCGCAGGCGGCGGTCCAGAACTTGTCAACATTTGAGTTTCCTCTTGTTCTTCAGCTTCAAGATCTGTAAAGTCCAAATCTTTCAACCGTAGAGGACGCCGTTTAACCTTGTCTAGACAACGTTGCCAAAATGTCTCAACATTGTTTTCAGTTTCAGCTAGAATTGCAGCGGTGGGTGTTGCTGTTGTTGGTTCTGCAGTACTCTGTTATATAACAAAAACACAATCAGGATATTAAAAAACTTCGTGCAGTTTTATTCAAGAAATTTTTCGACAAATATACCTAAAAACCTTTTCAGCGTTTTGACAAAAATTTATGCTTCAGAAATCAGAAACAGTACAAAATATTGTCTACAAGTCCGTCAGTTCCAATTACTGAAAGTCAAAGTAGTATTCAAAGAGGACATGGACCGGAATAGGCTGGCACTCCAATGACGTGGAATGGATTTGAGGATAAAGAAATTTATTAAATTAGAACTGATGAAAATATGTTCTTTCATACCTCAGAAAAGTACTGATTGGTCTAATGGATTGGTGATCTGTCTTAAGCTGACTAGACATTTCTACTTTAGATAACATCGTTCTTACTGTTGAGGAGGTTGGGAGTCAGAGTATGACTCTGCAATCGGTTTCTCTCTAACAGACCGTTCTAATCCCCAAAAAATACCTACTATATTGTTCCACTTCATATGGAGAGTGTAAAAAAAATACCTAAAATCAGAATACCTTCCTTTCTTCCTATCTTCACTTTAAGTACCTATACCACACAGTTACCAAGCAGAATAGAGTTGACAACCTCTCAATATACTAGTTTTCGTTGTAGTGATATTGCAGCGTGTGCTACTAACAAGATTTATCAATATTATGTAAAGAGACATTCATCGGCATAAGAATATCAAATAGCAGAGTGATAGAATTGACGTTAAAGAGAAAAAAATGAATCAGTGTTGCCGCGAGACATAGGAGACGTGAAAAGAAGACAAAAACACGATAAGAAGGGCAGAAATAGCACAACAACACGGAAGATCTGCAAAAACGACGATTTTCAGATAGGGTGTACATAATTTCTCCATACAGAGACATCAAATTTCAAATAAACATTCCGTTAGCAAGTCTCTTGTCTTCTGTCTTTACAATATTACATTCTATGAGCTGGATAGTTTAATTATATGAAGTTTTCTTTGTCTGATGTATGTATTACTACGTCTGTTTCCCGGAGGATATTACTAGGGACCTGGTAGTCGAATATATCTGTAATCACCAGACATATTGATGCAGAACACACTTATATAGCAATGAAAAAAAAGTTAAACTGTCATAAGGTTAAATATTAGATCAACAAAATATCTCCTTGATGAAATCAATTATATTTCGATTCACCACGAAAGACATCAACACAGAATTTCATAAACTCATGGTCACATTGAAGTTAAGATAACAGCGTTAGGCAAAATTATCATTGATAATGAAAATTTCCTCTATGACTGGAAAATATTTTAACAAACTATAATTATTGAACCCTTGAATGCATGCGATAATATCGACTAGAGACAGTTGTATAATTTAAAAACGAGAATGCCTTAGCACTAATTTTGTTTTTTCAAATCAGCAAATATTCTACAATATCTGTTGAAAGTATACAAATGACCCTGTCACAGTTCCATTGACTATGATAGCTAAAGATTAGCAGACAACAGAAAAACAACAACAACAACAACAATAGAAGATAGAGATAAGTGGAGAAAAAGACAGTCAAAATACTTTGACCTAGTTCTCGAAAAACTCAAAAAATTGTTATTCAAAAAAAAACAGAAAAGACAAACAGAATATAATGAATAAATACCTAGTTAATCATTGTGTAGTGTACACAAAATGACGTAAACTTGTGTATTTCACTTGTAAGCACTACCATAGATACGGGAAGTAACGATGTCAGTGTGAATATTTTTCGCCTTTTATTACTAGCCAATAAGATAAACGACAGCATAACTGTTCGTGTGCTAGGCAACCTATCAAAATTGATAGGTAGGCAAGATTGTGCAAACTGTGTCAGAGTGAAATATACAAATTATGAGAGTAGTATTGTAAAGGATTGAATACTAAGACACCAGTAAGAGTTGTTCGTTAGTAAGACAAGTTCCATTTATATTTTGTGAATGTTGGCATTTATTTCAAACAATCAACTCGCTATTCAGTTGGAATCGTCTTTGTCTAATCTTTTCGGTGAAAGTAGTGACAAAATACAGTCATCTGAAAGTAACTAACAAACGTTTAACAAGTCCTGACACATACTTCTAGTCTGCCAAATGTGAAATAAAACAATGGAACTGGTCTGCACAGGTTTGTAACTTAATAAGTCAAATCTATCAACAAAGGAGGTCAACAGCACTCAGCATCAAAAATAAGATCCGGATTTTCAACTCCAATGTAAAGTCAGTGCTACTATACAGATGGATCAGAGACTTGGAGAGTCATAAAGAGCACCTCAAACAAACTACAGACCTTCATCAGCAGCTGTCTTCGCTCAATTCTGCTCAAGATCGGATGGCCAGCCAGAAAAGATCAGCAACAGGGATCTTTGGCAATTACTGAACCAACCAGGAACCGATTGTGAAACAAATAGGCAGGAAGAAATGGAGATGGATTGGCTGGCCATACTCTGAGGAAACCATCAAGTGACATCACTAGACAAGCCATTGCTCGAGTGGAACCCGAAAGGGAGGCGGCGAGTTGGTCGTCCAAGGGTAACTTGGAGAAGGTCATGCGAGGAGGAGATGAAAGCATGTGGACAGACCTGGAGCGGGGTGAAAAAGTTGGCAGAAAACAGAAGGCAATGGAGGTGCGCAGCTGAAGCCCTATGTTCCTCTAGGAACTAAAGGATACAATAATAATCAACGAATTCGCTTATTCAGCAAGTTACTTCAGCCTCAACAGACAGGTTGCTGCGGTAATCTCTAGATGTTTGTAGACCTACATCACACATGACACTAGGGAGATACCAGACTCCTCATGCGCAGGAGTTTGTTCACTTAGAACAAATGAGTGTGCAGACTCTCTCTAACCAAAAATGTCTCACTTAAAGAAAAATTACATTCTGGAAGACTTGAAAGGAGGTCTGAAGATGAAATTTTTAAACTGACTAAAGGATATGTCTTTGGTTTAAAAGAGGTATAGTAACTCCAATAACAAAAAACCAATTAATACTAACCTTTTTAACAGGTAATGTAGAACCCGGAGCGCTTGGTGGCTTCGATGCTATGCCTGATTCGAAACGATCCTTAACTGATAGAATCTTACCAGTTCTTTCGCGTGGTGTTTGTGGCTTTGGCGGTTCTTCCACCTGAAGCAAAATAAGTTGAGAAAGTGATGGAAATATTTATTTCCCGATAAGTATTTAAAAACAAGCAATTCATGTTAATAAAACAAGATTTAATGAATCTATCGAAGTTCCGTAGAAATCCTTAGCTGAATATTATGCATACAGCCTTATATGTACTATGAAAATTGCACAATAATAATAATAATAGCTTTATTCCAAACAGTATGTTTTGGTACAAATATGGAATTTCCAGCATGTAATACAATATTCAATCTAATTTTCTTCTCATTACAGGGGCAATGAAGATATGTGACTAGTAAATAAACTACAGTGAACCAATGGTAATAAGACAAGAGATGAAAATGGTTTACAGACCAAGTTAAAATGAATAGGATGTGGAAAGGCTATGAGATATTGAAAATTAAGATTACAATAAACAATCAGTCATCAGAGGGAGGACTAAAAAAAGTTTAGGAATTACAAAATGAACATTAATAATAAAAACAATAGTGAAATTTATTATTGCATTGGGTTACTAGTGGAACATAGGGTTTCAGCAGTACACCTACACCTTGTTTTATTTTCTGCTCTCCCCTTTATCTGGTCTCATAGTTTCCCATAGTCTTTCATGTCGTCGTTGCACGATCCCCTCTATGTTAACCTCGTACGCCCAACTAGTCGTTTCCCAATCAGGTTCCATTTGACAAACTGATGTGTGATGTCGTTCGACGATCTCCTCAGGGTGTGCTCGATTCCCCTACATTTTCTTCTGCGTATTTGATTGGTCCCTTACCAGAGTTTCTTGTTGCTAATTCTTCCTAGCCATAGGGTCTCCAATACAGAGCCAGTGACGACAGCTGTTGATAAAAATCTGTAATCCGTTGAAAATGCTTTCTGTGACGCACTAAGTTTCTGACTCATATAAAAGAGAAGTGACTTAAGATTGGTGTTAAAAATCCTAATCTTGTTCTTCATGCCGAGTGCAGAAGATTTCCAAAGTGATTAGAGTGATGAAGGTTTGTCTTGCCTTTCTGATTCTGGTTTCCACATCCTGATCCGTTAGGCATGCTTGTCGTTAGAACGATTGTGTCTAGATAAGTGAACGAAGTGATATCTTTCAAAATGTCCCCGTTGATAGTGACTGGTATTTGTCTCCTGTTTGTTAATTTGAAGTCCTGTCTTCGTTGCATCTTCGAAAAACTTGTAGGTCTTCGATTTTGTGTGACATCAGAAATATATCGACTTCAAATCCCAGATCTTTTAGAGTCTTCTTATCGGTCCAATGTATTTTTGTCTTCTTGCTTTCCATACACACACTGTGTCTCATAATCCAGTCCACTACAATAAGAAATATCATCTATTAGAGTAGTCAGCATCGTACTACTCCTGTCTTTAATTCAAAAGCTTTGCTGAGTTTTACGTTGTTGATCTCTTGACCTGACACATTCTATTGTCATATAGCTGTTGAATAAGGTTGATAAAGATTTGGGTAACTCCAGGGTGTTGAAGTAGCAGTGAAATAAATGCCACTTATAGTGATAAAAGATAGTTTTCATTGAGACCAGAATAACAATAGGTCATAATTGTACAAACCTCTAAAATTGCGAAGATCTTTCAGTTTTCTTGTCAGATGAAACAATGAGTTACTTGTTCATAGTCGATAGGATACCTTGTCATCAGAATTCGGGTACTTTTGACCCAGCTCTCTTCAAACACTTGTGAAAATGTCTGATAATATGAGTAGACAGCTGCCTTACTGTATGACTGATGCATTTTCTCCCACAAATACACTGAAACTGGCATACGAAGTTAGAAGTGTTGGAGACTGGTGACAGCCTTTCTACCGTAATGTTGAAAAAAGTTAATTTACATGAAAATTGAAGATATCGCGAGGGTCTGTGGTGAAATTGCAATTGCAATTGAAAACTATAATATAAAAAATGGTAGTTTTCGTTGTGAATTTTCAAAACATAAATTCAGTTGAGAACACTAAGACAACAGACAATGTGTCTTCTAAGATGACAACAAGAAGAGATAGTTGTGGTGAGAGCTGGTTGCTAGCCAAATTGGTAGACAGTAATTTACGTCAATGTTTCCGTTCCCAATACTGGTCGTGAGGAAAATAAGAACAAAGACTGATTCAACAACCAACCACAGCAGACTTTGCGTAAGTGGATACAGTTAACATATAGATGATCTGACATTCAAGAGACAGCCACAAAGATTAACTTTCCGTGAGAAACAACCAATCAGAAGACTACCGTTACATAGTTACTTGAAATGATGATGATGATTACCATAACACAGATGACTCATTGAAAGCCAGCTTGGAACTGATTTTAGAGTATCAAATGTTACAGCTAAGGCGATTTAAACATAGAAAGCCAAAACATTAAAATAAAATAACTAAAATAATATTAAGTTTGACTGCTACACCAAGGCCTTTTAGTCTGATGAATGACAAGCTTTTCTGACAGATTCATTGATTATTGTATTATTATTCGTTCTCAAGGATCCGAAAGTGAAACATACGATTTTATCAGGACATCTCAATTATGTTTTTTTCTCTGTCCTAATTTTTATCTGGCTCCATGAATGATCTCAACATGAATTTTCCCATGTTATCCACGGACCTATGACTAACTCAGAATTTGGATGACTCCCCAAAATACGTACAATTCATCTCCATTTTCTTTTGCACACCAGTCGACCAAAAGTTTCATGAGCGCTTTGCTGACTTCCAGAGTGTTCACTGTTACTTGTTCTGAGTGCTGTGGATCTCTATGCTGCTTTCGCAGTAATCAACGCCTGTATTGCTTTCTCCATCCGATCATGACTGTCTTTAACAAGTTTGGCGTTTGTATAGTAGGGATAATGCTATCGAAGTGTGTGAAAGAGATGAATTTCAAGTTTTTTCTAGTTGTAGTTGTTGATCAGTGCTTGTTTTTAGAGGCTGAATAAGTTCATCACCCCTATTTTTTCCATATTCACTTGAATGCCTGTTTTCTTTGAGTTTGTCAAGCATAGGATAGAAAACGTCTATGAAATCCACATCCTCAACAAGTGTATTTTTGTTGCTTCAACATATCTCCATCTTCTCAGATGGTTATGTTACCAGTAATATAATAGAAGTCTGTATTCATTGTGAGGGCTTACGGCGAGCTGTCATCTCAACTGGTGACGACTAGTGGTGTCCGTCAAAGATGCCCATTATCTCCTTTTCTATTCAACTTCATCATAGATGTGTTAATGGACTTAACCCTAGGTGACTTCAGCGACTCAGGGATTGACTTGCTACCGGGGAATAATCTCGTTGACTTGGAATATGCAGACGATATAGTCCTTCTAGGCGAAGACGCTGACGAAATGCAGAGTCTTCTAAACACCTTGAGCCGCAATCTACGAATGTTTGGCATGCGATTCGCTCCCGCCAAATGCAAGATGATGTTACAGGACTGGACTACATCGACGCCTAGTTTAAAAATAGGAAGTGAAGTGGTAGAGCACGTTGGCCGCTTCACTTATTTGGGAAGTACCATCAGCCAGTGCCAACGGGTTGATCTCTGACGAAATCTCAGCTGAGTACGGATACAGGGGGCTCGTTTCGCATTTGCCAGTTTACGCCGACTCTGGCGTAGACGAGATGTTCGACTATCGACCAAAGGGCGGGTGTACTGCTCATCAGTCCGCTCCGTCCTCCTTTATGGCTGCTAGTGAGACCTGGCCACTGAGAGTGGAAGACATGAAAAGACTAGCTGTCTTTGATCATAGGTGCCTGCGTTCTATTTCCCGTGTAAAGTGGCATAATAAGGTGAGCAACATGGAGGTTAGGCGTCGAGTTCTAGGTAAACAGGGGAAATCAATCGACGAAGTCGTGAAGCTACAAAGACTGAGATGGTTAGGACATGTGTTACGTATGCCAAGCCATCGCCTCCCTCGACGAGCAATGTTAGCGGATATAGGGTCAGGCTGGAAAAAAGCTAGCGGCGGTCAAACAAAAACTTGGCACCAGTCAATGAAATCCACAACAGTTAGTCTAAGCCAGCCACGTAGGAAGGTGTAGACTTCCAGGCTGGGGTCCTCGGGACGGTAAAAATCTATGGTTGGAAACAATTGGTGACATGGCTCAAAACCGTTCTCAGTGGCGCAGATGCATCCACTCCCTGTGACTTATGATCTTCAATGAAACTGTTTTGTATTTCTTTATTACTCCTTTGTCTCACACTTCTGCTCACTGTTTCTATTATGCTTTTCTTGTACTTTCTTCTCTTGCTTAGCGTGCTACACGGAATGTGGCGACTTGAACTTCTGCACATTTGTGCAAAGTTCTATGTCGAAAACAGACAGAGAGACATTCATTGTGACTGAATTTTGAGGAATGAAAGACTTTGAACAACTAAAGGGGTTAGTGGCATCCATTTTAATAACCCAGCGGGTTCAATATTCAAGGCATGAAGTTTAACTTCTAGCCAGCCGATTCATTCGACCAGCCACAGAAATAGAAAAGAATTCATTAATTTTTTTTAAATATTGATTAAACCAACTAATCAATTTATGTATTAGCATTATCATGTTAATCATAAATTTAAACTTAATTCAAATCGATGGAGAGATCATGCAGCATAGCCTTGAGTTACTATACTAATAATGCTGGTAATGTTGATGATTTTATCCCAAGCGCTATTAAGTAGTGTAACAACAATATATTTCAAAATCGTATAAATATGACACAATTTATAAATGAGGGAAACTGACTTTTTCAAAGGATGAATGCTTCTCTTTTAGCGCTTGTATACTACTGACTTTATTTGGTGATGTGGCTGGTGCACTGCTGGCGATAGAAGGAGTACTAGGTTCCGATTGTTTTTGAGAGGCTCGAGTAAGTGCTTCAATTTTATTCTTCAATGATCCAGCTACTGGACCCTCGGGGACAATGATCACCTTTCCCTTGAGATCGTCGACAGGTTCATCTTGAATGTGTAAAAGGTATACACAGAGACATACGTAAATCATATGCATCTTTGTGAATACTAAACAATAAGGTTTGTGAAATCATAGGGAATTAATCTTTGCCTATAAATATGTCACTTTCATTAACCAGTGAACATGAAGTGTACTGCATAGTCACCTTTAAACAATGAAAAATACATTTGTTACCGAAAAATAAACCCGATCGGCATACAGAAAACAAGTTCTTCAAGCAGTGAGCAACTCATGCATGCATGCTGTCATGGAAGTATGATGCAACGAGACCAGTAGAGTAACAAAACACAAAAACACATCTTACACCGTCTTTTGCAGAACAATCACAATTACATAACGTAATTTTGTCGTTATTTGTTAACATCTGAGACGATTATCTCAACGAAGAATTGGATGAAAAGCGCTTCGAGAAAAAACTGTCAGAAGGTATTAGAACTGACGAAGAGAAATTATCAAATTGAATGATGTTTTAAGATATATGCTATTAAAAATGACACGCGTAGTTAACAAGCACTAATATTGTGACTAAAACTATTTGCCAGCCAATATGAAGGTATTCCAAAAACCAAACATCAGTTTTCTATCGTTTGTATTGGTTTCCACTGTAAATCCAGGTGAAATTTCACCTCAATCTGTATATCCTATGTCAGTAATACCTGATCACATTATTAACCAGTATTATGTGTTAGTTAAACCGTATGTCACCCAACCAATTTGTTAGGAACTTATAAGTCGTTAGCTAAGCAGTTAGCAAAGTTATTCACTGTATTAAACACTAAAAATAATGCGGCTTTTATCGGTGGTGAAATAGTATTTCTGGTTACCAAGACAACAAAATACCGATAAGGGGTTTCATTTTGATTTTAGACCTATTTTTATTTCATACTGTTGAAAAAGTTCACAGACACACTTCAGATCTCTGATATTTCGGTAATAAACATTCTACTACAGTTCAGTGTCTCTAAATTCAGCTTTAATAAGAATAAACATACATACATACGTCAGTCACGAATAACGGAAACAAGACAATATCAGGAAAATGTATAGCAAATGCGAAACAACCGAAGGTGAGGTTAAAATTTTGACGCGGTAAGATTTGAACCAACAGTCCGGTGGTATACCAGCCGAGCTAAAAGACCGAACTTCTGACTTAGTAATCATTCCATTACTGTTCTGCTAATTCAGTAGGGTAAGAATTGACAGAGGACCTAGTTAGGTGGCTGTGATAGTGATAAAGCCACAATAACAAATCACTCATTCACATAGCATCTAGTCATTTATCATGGTCACTAAAGCGAAATGATAAACTAGGCTGGCAGATAGGTTTAATTCGTCATTTAAGGTCTCTGGTTCGAATCTTGATGCCACCGAGACCTTCATATCACCTTCAATCATCATCCATTACACCAGCTACATTCACCTAACCCACGGCGATAGTTTCACTTTCAAATATACACGGACGAAATTACAGGATAGTGATCCAAACGAACGAACAACTCAGTAAGCTTGAAGCTACCAATCAGAGTTGACTGAACTAATTTAGGAAATGAATGAAAAACAATATGGAAGCAATGATGTCTGCTTTTTTGCCGGTATAAATGCATCATTTTGTGCAATTGTTATTATGCTATAAGCTAGCAGTTAATAACGTTCAAGTAAATGGTTACTAAAACAAAGAAATGTAGGTAGAATAACAGAGAGAGCAGACAGTTTAAATTTTTCTGGAGGAGATGGATCTCAAAACCTTTTTGAGCTATTGCTTCATATGACCCTGAACTACACCGATACTGACGCAGACATTTTGTATGTGTGAGAGACGGGAAGATATTTAGCTTGCTGATTTTGGTTGCACTACTAGTACAAGGAACACTAAGCGTCTATAATGTTGATTTGTATGGATTTAAATGACTTCAGGATAAACTTCGTCAACAACTGATATAGGGTTAGAAAATAAATTGAGGACCAAGGAGCACTGGGAAACTGTTCCATCTCACTTTGGCACTGTGATCACAGATGTGTCACGAGCTACTAACAGAAATTACAATTAAGTAGTGCATGAAAACAGAAAAGCAAAAAAAGAATAGGCATAACTCAGCTTTCTCTCTGGATTACACTAATTACTAAATCTCTCCACTAAATGAGAAAAATGAATATTGTCTATAAATAAACAATAATACCTAATGGTCTCACTTTTTTCAATACCAGACTCGTGATCGCCTTTTCCTTCGTTTTCTGTCTCCTTTCCACTTGCTTGTTTTCTTTCTTCCTCTTTTTCTTCTTCTTCTTCTTCTCCTTCAATACAATGACCATTTTGATTTGGGATTTCATCAAGTTCCTGTGATGTTTCAGTAGCATCAACATCTGATACTAATTCATTCTCGCGGAGCAACTTATTTTTTGCATCAGGTGTTAAAGTGTGTTCTTCATCAAAACAGTAGAATACCATGCCTTTATTTTCTGGTTGTACATGACTTGGCATTGGATGTAATTCAATCGGTGCAGAGTCTTCCTCTGGTTCAACGATAACAAAGGTGGACAGAGCCTTGTCTTGTTCACAAGAATTTGTCAATTCTGTGTTTAGTTTATTACAGTGTTTTATGTCATTCTCTAGCACTACATGTTCTTCGCAGGGATTCTCTAAATTAAACAGAATACGATGGTTGGTAGATGATGTGAAGTATAAATCATTACTGGAATCAACCAGAAAGAAAGCTTTAAATGAGTACACATATAGGTATGTATGTGGAAATGTGGCTTGTCGAACAGAGTGCGGGTTCGAGTCCCACTCCACCTACTTAAGCCTGGAAGAGTAGGCAGTGTTATTAAACTTCATATAGAAAATTAGATTCTTAAACGACTAGTTATAAGGAGGTGACTACTCAAAACTGCAGTGAAGAGTGTATATTAGTATCGCTTAATAGGAGTGATTTAAAGTTCTTCTTTAAAAAGTGACAAATACGATTTCATGAACTACACCCTTGTCGGCATAAAATTAAATACATAATGAGGTTAAAAAACCAATGTCAGTTAGAGAACAATTGAAAACAATGAAGTACTGAATAACGACCTACTCTTAGTTTGGGAGTTTTCAACAGTGCATCCCTTCCCTACCCCCGAACTACCCCCACTAAGGGTCAGACGCAAGCATTTCAGTTTGTCAGGCAAGCGTGTTAAACATCCAACCACCAGGATGGAATCTTATGACGCACGAATCCTAGCTTCGCCCAATTCACGATATACGAAGCCACTACCAACCAATGTTATTTCGTGATTTCATCTAAATCGCTGATAAGTAATAACTGAAAATAAGGTGAGTATTTCTGGTGTTATTGTGCTATCTGATCCACATCATTTCAGTGACTTTTGAAAAGCATCCCCAGTGAGCTTTCGGAATTCGCCCTGAACTCAATAGCCGTCTGTCCTTATTAACTAGGATGTGATCGATTGTTGCCAGAGGAGATTTTTTCATCGTCTTGCTAACTCTTAATGACCCGGTATTTAAACTTCAGTCAGTGTTACTATTTTTGATCACTTGATGAATCTGATTTACGTCTCTATGTCCGTTGACTGCAAATAGATCTAAGCACCAGGCGACAATGATTTCCCCCAGAAACAGTTAGATCCGAACTAGGAGAATGAACACTTAGCCACTAAACCATCCAACTCAGATCAACCAATAATACAAATGCAGGTTGTTCATAATGATCAAATATTCATACTATTAAATAGGCCAACTAGTCTTCTGATTTGCCTTTTATTTTTAGAAACTAAAAGTTTAATAGGCTGCTAGGTCAGCCAATGTGGAATGCCGGGGAACACTAAGGCATCCAAAATATCACAGTCTTTCTTATACTACCTGAAAAAAATACTTAAAAATCAAAACCTAATGTTTCTAAAACCAAAAACATAAGCACACGAATTAACCTTAAAGAACGCCAACTCACCATGACTACTGGATGTTTCAGTCTCATCTTTCACATAATCATCAGTCACATCAATTTCATCAATAGTCAATTGTTCTTCATACAAAAGTGTAATACGCTTTGAAGGTTGACTAGAGCACGTAGTAGTAGTAGTAGGCATTGTAGCAGGATCGCTGTTAGTAATAATAATATTCTTTTTCTCTACCTGACCATTAATTGAGGCTGCATTGATATTGGTCGTGGTGTTGTGATTAACCTGCTCTTGTTGTTTATAATTTGAATGCGGTAAGTGAACAATAGTCGGATGATGGATAAGAAGTGATGGTGACGATAATTTTCGCTTGTAATTTTCACATTCATCACTAGGACTGACACCTTGAAGTTTCCTAATGTTATCATGAGAATCATCAATATCTGAGTAGAAGTAGGCAATTATTGAGGTTGGTCAAGAAAGAGACGGATTTCACAGTTAAATATGAAGATAATCAGAGTAACAATAACACTGATAACAAAAACTTTTGAAAAACAAATAAACAAACCACAAGCGATATTGAGACTATCTGATATAATCTTCAGTTGGCAGACTGTTATTGGTGTAATGGATGGTGAGTGGAAATGGAGTGGAAATCTACGCCGCAGCAGGGTTCAAACTAGCAGCCGCCGGAGCTACTAGTTCGACGCCTCACCACGTGAGCTACAAGACCTAATTGCTAACCAGATCATAGTTTCACTTCTGTCAGTACGGGTAATACCCCAGCTAACTTGTGAATGAATGGAACACTACTATATGACTCATTCGTGATAGTGAGACAATGATGATCTGGTTAACCGTTCGGTGTCGTAGCTCACCTGATTAAGCGTCAGACTAGGATAATTCGGAGTCAGCTAATTCGAATCCTTCTGCCGACACCTAGATTTTAATTCCACCTTCACACTCATCATACACTACATCAAAAACAACAATAAATACCAGCCATTCCACTGGGTGCTGTATTTTGCATTCCGTTAAACTGTCAAAATGCAAATTAACTAGCAAACGAACGATAAATGATAATTATTCTTCTTTTGTTTAAAAAAACAACAATATTACAACATTCCATAATGGTGTGATGATTATGATCCATGAGATAATGTCAATAAAGAGTTGAGGGAGATACGTGCACACAGACATATAAACAGACAGAGAGACAGACAGACACAGATTCGGTAATTATGCTCAAGACTAACTGATCATCTGTCTGACAGGCTATTGCATGCACACTACTAGTGTTTGGCGTTAGTTATCAAGAAAATAATAAATCTCTACTTCTCTCCACACACCCACCCACCCCAACTTCTTTGTCTCAACACACATAAAAAATAACATGCACATATATCAAAAATAATTTCAAGACATGCAAACCCTTAAAAATTAAGGCGGTTGACATCAATTCAATTCGTGTGAATGACGAATTTATTATTTTTGTTTTTTGTAAATTTAAACATATTTACATGTGGAATTAATTGAAAAAGAACTCGAAAAACAACTTAATTGATGAATTTGTTGGTCGTACTAAACAACTATAACAAAACAATATAGTTGAAAATCCAAGATGAAGCAAACACTAGATTTATCCGTAACCTGTGCAGCATAATTTTACAATCGACAGATAGCAAACAGACCTGTCGAGTTCATTAAGAAAAACTTTGTCTAACGGGAATATGGCGTATCTTTCAAAATAGAAAGTAAACTCCTTCGATTGATTGAACTGCACATATCTCCTGGAGTCGTGTTTAATCCTAGCTAGTCTTATTTAGATTAATGTAACAGAAGTTATCACTTCTTAAATCAGGACTTTTCAGATGACTAGTGACTTGATTATGGGATTCACTTTTTCGAATTATAATCAGAAGTTGTGACTGATGAGGTTCATTCAATCACAGATGAAAATGAATAGCAGAAGCACTGAACCACGAAATGACAGAAATTCCAGTTTGTGGGTCATCATCGTATTCCAATTCAGTAGCTGAATAGTAATGTAATCGCTTCGTGATTTGACAGCTGAAGGTTCAAACCCTTGTTTGCTCATGGATGTATACTGGTCAGTAGTCCCGTACTAGGACGAAACAGGAATGAAATGCTCACTGGTTCCCGAAAGTTCGACAAATGACATCGATTCATAATTTTTATTTTTATTTATTTATTTATTTTTTATTACAGCTTGATTCCACACTGTATTTTTGGTACAAGTATGGAATTTTCAGCATGGATATCGGTAGCCTAAATTTTGCAGGCCGACTACAGATATCAGGTGTACCTCGGACCATGTGCATGGCCGGCGAAAGTCCTAACCACTGTGCCACCGACGCACATTCATATATCTATCGAAGACAAAGTGTAGTAATATAAAATTCTCATCGATACTTACGACCATTCATTTCAGGCTTTCTTTTACTATCTTTACCCAAATTGTCATCGTGTTTGTTCTCCCGTGATGATGAAAACACATTTGATGACTTCGGTTCATTATGTTTTGTCGAAGGATGAAAGCTGTAAAGAAGAGTTAAATAAATGAAACAATTAAGAATTAATAAAGGTACAGTGCACTAAAATTAAGGTCAATAAAGAGATTTTAATGTACACAAGTCATCTATTAGATTAGATTAATTGATCTTAAACAATCTACAGGTAATGATGGCAGAATTTAACACAGAATAGATAGGCAGACACACAGAATAGATGGGTACACCGATCGATATACAACTTTTGAAGACAAGAAAACCACACTGGTGGGATACCAAATTCTGTAGATTTACTTGATGCATCAGATTTTCTCATGTGAGTTTCAGAAGACCGCTTTCACAATACATACACATATATACATATGTCACTGCTTTTTCTCCTTTGACAGCAGATAGACAATTGTGACAACTAGCGAATAGACAAAATCTAATCGTTATTACACGTGACATTTTGCATAACGGCTAAATATGTGTTTCTTTATTACTCCTATTGTCAACAGCTTTGCTAAAATTCAGTACACTAAATGCGAATTTGAATACATGCGGAATGAAGGTGAAAAGGAGAGGCCGTTGTACCTTCAAATTTTAGGATGGCAAAGAATGTCAAATCAATATGGTGAGCATGGATAAATGGTTGCTTAATGGCGGACGATTAACAAGTACAAATAAATTCTCTGACATCGGCTATAACCTAGTGATGCACTAGTTAATGGTAATCTCAGTCTTAAAAATTAATAATAAACTATGATGATGTGAAGCGCATAGAACAGGTGAAATCGATGTACTGTGTGTGTGTGTGTGCGCGCGCGTGTATGTTAACTGTTTACTCAGAATGAAACAGTCTTCTTTCAAAATAATCGATATTCTATCACTAAACTCGTACTACGCGTACTACATATGTCATCCCATTGGCTGGCCCAAAGAATGGATGAATAAATTGAGGCGGGTGGGGGGAAGCAATTAGATCATTATGTGGCCCCATGGGCATTCCTGTTAGGTTAGTATTCATTAGTGCATCACCAATCTGTGGGTCAGGTCTAAGATAAAATTCTAACCAGTTGCAACGAGACATTATCAGATACATTCGAAAATCGTAATGAGTGTCGAACAGACTGCAACTACCTTCTTCCTTCACTTTCTTAAAGTGGCATGAAGTAACGTACCATCCTTTGAATGCTCTTGTAAATTATACTTATTTGCTTTCTGGATGATGATACCTCTCATTGACTTTATTTTCACTTTACTTGTATTGCTGTTTTATTAATTTTCTGTGACGCATCTCTCTGTGCCTCAACACTTTTTAATGATTATCTAAGCTGTATTGATTTATGATAAAATCTATGCATTGATACTGATCACCACTATCTCGCTAATTTGTTTTCATTTTCACCAAAATTTTTTACAAAGCTGAATGAAATCAATTTAGCAATCGATAATGATAATAATAGTAATAAAAGTTGATTGCTCAATTGTCCTCACTCCACTTTTCACAGCATGAGAATTATGACAATGAATGAGACTGAAGTACACACAGTGAAATTATATATATATAGTATGCAAATAATAGTTTCGCCGATCTTCTGATAACATGATACGATATTTACAAGCTGAATATATCACCTTTTGTGTAAGACCTGTCGTTAGCTCAGTGGTTGGTTTTATCGAGCTCTCTGTTTTCCGCACCAGTTTTATCCCATACAGAACCTATCACACAAAGGTACGTATGCGATCAACCAATTGGATTCGAGAACAGATTATTTTCAAGTATCAGTTCTCAGAGTTTTCAATGATTTCAAGTTTGACCACTGAACCATTGAAAACCGACGTTCACCTCTCAACATGAAACTCCTGGGTTCGACCCTCGGTGGAGTCATGGCTGAGTACTGCTAAAGTCTCTCATATTCGGGCAAAACAACCATCCGATTTCCAATGCTTCTCTAACTGATGTTAATACGTTATCAAGCTTGAAATCATAGAGGATTTTTGGTTTTTTTCGAAATATACTGAAGATTGCACAGTTATTCGACGGAGAGCGGATATCAAAGACAGACCACTTCTATGTGTATCTACCAAATTTACTTGCTCATATGGAGCGGGATATATAGGTCGTTCAATGTGTGTTTCATCCAAAACAGTCAAAGAACATTATCCCGCTTGCCTATGAAAAGGTAACAGTGAATTAATAAAGAGTGTTATACTCAACACTGGTCACTCAATACGCACGGAGAATTCATTCAAAGTCATCTACAAAGTCAAAAGAAGCCTCCCGAAATCGGCAGGCTTCTGTATACTTTGCACTGCCGAGACCTTAGCAATCTGGATAAAAAGCCCTAATATGTGGACACAGAAGAAACTTCTCTACCCCCTCCTTCCACCTTGGGTATAATTCCAAGTTCTACGACTTTGTTAATTATGTTTTGCTGTCCTTTTTTGCTTTTTAAATTTTTGTATGGCATCTTAGTAGTAACATCTTCTTAACCAACACTTTATTTTCTCTTTCTACCTATTACATAATTTGTTGTTTGGACATGTGTCTCCATTAACATCTTCGTTCATATTACGCAACCCTTGTCAATACTCACAAATCTCTACACCCCTGGGTATAATTTTGATTATTCATCACATTTTAGAAAAATTTTGATGACGTAAGCAGCAACCCTAACCAACTGTATTTTTAATTTTGTTTTACAATCCTAATGTACGCACACACAAAATAATCGTATATAAATGCGATTGTACAGCTAAGTGAATGAATTCGCCGAAAAGAGACTCTTCGCTGAACTTTGCTATTCGTATAATAATAACAATAATAATACGAGTCAAATTCAAAAATCGTGTTGTCATCAATAGAAGGACTAACAGTAGTCACGGCCATCTAACAGAGGAAGTCAATGTTTATGAATATATGAAAAAAATTGGAGGATGAATCGTTTTATCCTCTGACAATTTTGTCCACAAACTACTACTACTACTAGCTGTCAAACGGATAATATTCATTCCAGAAATAGTACACCAGCTTTGAAAGTTTGAACTGGGTCTTCAGTTTTCCATAAAAAGAGTTCCTTCTATTTTTTCACAAACTGACTTAACAGCATAGAACTTAGAGTAAAACTGCAACGGTTTGTGATACCTGACTGCGGTAAAGGAGTGAATACATTTACGCCACAATGTGAACGACTTCAATTGTGAGAGCGAGTCTTCAGTCATCAATTCATAAGCAACCTTTTGCGTTATTTATTCTTAACAGTAGTAGGCAATTACATCGGCAGGATAGGTTTGAATACAATAATAACATGATAAAACAGGCTATTTCCGAGTAGCAAAAACACCAACTCGTACAATCATCATTCCATACTTATAAGTACATTGACACGACAAATGTCTGTGTATTGTGGTAGAGCCTGTTGAGCACTTCACTTATTTGGACAGTTGCATCAGCCCAGTCAATCCCAGCTAGTTGATCGTTGACGAAATCTCAGCACGAATACAGAAGGCTCGTATGGCGTATGTTTACGTACGCCAACTCTGACTTAGCAGACGTGATATCCGGCTGTCGACTAAAGGGCATGTGTACTGCTCAGCAGTCCGCTCCGCCCTCCTTTATCGCTGTGAGTGAGACACAGCCATTGAGAGTGAAAGACATGAAAAGCCTAGCTAGCTGTCTTTGATCATAAGTGCCTGCGTCCTATCTCCCGTGTAAAGTGGTATAATAGAGTGAGCAATATTGAGGTTAGGCGTCGAGTGCTAGGTAAGGAGGGGAAATCAACAGACGAGGTTGTGAAGTCACACCGATTGAGATGGTTGGGACATGTGTTACGCATGCCTAGCCGTCGCCTTCGTCGACGGGAAATGTTAACCACTGAAATAGGATGGATCACTTTCTGGTTGAATTCCTCTGGGTAGTAAAAACTAACGACTGGAGACAACTGGTGATATGGCTCAAGATCTTTCTCAATAACGCAGATGCATCCCCTATTTGTGATTTACAATATCCAATAAAATTCTGTTGTTCTTCTGTATAACTATTCTTTTTGCCTGATATTTCTGTTTAGTATCTCTACTTTGAATCTCTCTTTACCCTCCCCTCTTGCTTCGTGTGCTACGTGGAGTGTGGTACATCTGTGTGAAATTCCACTTTGTAAGGAGTCGGTCAGTCAGTCTGTGTATTGCTTAGTATCATGCGATGTAATTAAAAGCTGCCAGTTATTAGATAAAATGTCCAATAGAAAACACAACTCACCTTGCATGGGAAACTTTTTTAGGCATTCCAGCGTGCTGAAGATTTTCTACAGACTGATAACGTTTTGATTTACGTGACAGTGCTCGATCCATTTCACATGCCATTGACTGACTTATGGGTAGCGCATGCATAGAGGATAATAATGCTTCGCCTTCAGGTGTTTTCAGATATTGATCACGACTCATTCGTCTCACCTGACGTAGACTTTCACGACCACTTGCTGGCAGTGGTAATTCATCAACATCTTCCCCGTCTTCATAGCGTAAACTTGCCTAAAGGAAGTAGAGAATTAAAAATTAAATCACTTATCACACACAGTATTAAGCATATAAACATATACATAGACTGACATGCATAACTGTTCAATATCCTACGGAAATTTATAATAAATAGAAATTATGCGGAGGGGATGATAATATGAAACCGACTTTTAGGATAAGCCAAAAACAAGACAAGGGTTTAGCGAAAATCAAGGCGGTAACATTTGACAGAGTACAGATTAAGTCGACACAGGAGTGATTTCTTCAACAACAAGAAAGAAACATCGGGGAATTGATTTAATCATTTGTCGATAACAATCAGAGAAAAGTTAAATAGGTGGTGAAGTCATACATGATACGAAAGTATTGATGGTGTAAATAAAAACAAAATTCAACTTGAGCACAAAGCTGAACTCAATCACTCAGAACCTGACAGACATATTTCTAAGAAGAAAACATAATGTTAATTGAAAGGTGGATTCGGAAACGAATCGTTGAAAATCAAGCAGCACTGATAGCTGTTTGTTGGTCGAGCTTGTTGACCATTGTTTAACCATCATGTTGGAATCCCATGACCTGTGGATTCTTACTGCTGTCAACTCAAGATATACAGTCCCAATACCGGCCAATTTTGTCAGAGAGTATCTGTACTTACAAACAGTTTGGTGAATTCCATCGATCACTTCCTCTCATTGCATCTCCAGGAGATACACCCCGATAGTTAATTACCAGTTAGAAACGGATCTGTTCGCAAGTGTTGGTTGGATGTGGTTGATTTTAAGATCCATTTCTCTAAGTGAAATTGGTTTGCTATGAAGGTGACCTTTAAATCAGCCAAACCTCTGCGATCAAAAACTTTGAAATCAGCGGTGACTTGCCTTACTTTCGCAAATGTTATATTTCTACAATAGACGAAAGATGCAAATTTCTCTAGCTGTGTGTATTTTATCCTCTTCACGACTACTATTATTCAAGTATTGGTTTGTAGGGATTTGGTTGATTGGTTACATGATTTCATCATTAGCCGACATCAGTTAGAGAACTATTGGAAGACATGGGAGTACTGGACAGCTGTTTTGTCCTAGTTTGGGACTCCTCATCAGTGCGCACCCACTGGGTGCAGGTCGGGTGTGAGAAGAAATACTCGCCGAAGACATCGGCTAGTGGTCGCGGTATGTCTTGAATTGGCAGGAGTTGGAATTCATAAGCTGGTCACTGGACCGGGTCCCAGCGGCTTATGGGTCTACGAGCTCGCCTTGCAACCAGAAGGCCCTGCACTCGAACTCCGTGGGTGCGTACTGTTGAAGGGTCCCAAACTAGGAAGAAACAGCTGTTCAGTACTCCCAGGTTTTCCAATGGTTTTCTAACCGACTACTGTTAACTGGATGATAGCTAGTTCCATAAGTTTTCATAAAGAAAAGTGGAGACTGAATATTGTATTTGATAGATTTTTTTTGGAGTAATAGCTAACGAAGTTAACTGCTGCAGAAACTGATGATACTCCGGAGATCCAAGACAATTAGGAATACCAATGCAACAAACAGATAACAGTCACAAATCACAACCAACACACACACATCTCTTTCATATATATCCAACAGGTCACGTTTTATATCGAACTTCAAACAAACAAACGAACAAGAATTTAAAATGGCACTTACTTCATATAAATTTAATTGTTCAGCTAATTCAGGATCACAGTTCTTTTTGCTAAGATGACACTGGACAATTTTTTGCATACCCATCTCTTCTAAACAATCTGTAACATCATAGAATGTATCTTGATCTGGAATTGAATTCAGCGTCTTATTCAATAAGGTCATTGCATAGACCAACAATTCAGAATCACTTGCTTCATTGTTCAATATATTAATTATGTACGACCATGGTCGACCAGATAAAGCTGAAATTTTCAAATGAGAAGTAGGTAAGGCAAAAGAATTACTTTTGTAGATAAGTTCAACAACAACCTGAATAAAAAGTAACAATTAGATAAACTGGTTAGAAAATATTCATTATTATCATTATGTTTTATTGTTTATTAAAAATAAAATTAACAAGTGCATTTTTAACAGTTATTTTAACCGAATAGAAAATTGTAACGGCGACCTGCTTAAACCATCGGGATATTGAATTATCTATTCAGTATAAAGCGTCAACTTCACTTCATTTTACGTTGTTTTAACCATCCAGCTACACTGTCGAATCGGAGTCTCAACTCCACTGCATTCCTGAATAGCTTTCAACTTAACACTACGCATTTTAGTTTGTAAGTACAACAGTGTGGAATGGTTGAAGTATGCTTCAGGTCAGACAGTACAGTGTCGATTATAATTTCACTTAAAGATTCTGTACTGTATATAAACGCATAGTTTAGAATGAGGTCATTATTACTATTATTATTATTATTATTGATTTGCAAGGTAACTAGCATGTTTAAAATACAGGAAACATATGAGAATTATTAATAGTAATAATAATGGTGATTGTCTAAGCTGCTGACCAGTGAAAACCAAGGGGTAGTGGACATTTGTCAAGTCCTAGCTCGACACTCATCAACGATCTATGCTCATTGCTCAATGATAAATCCAACGCATCAAGGAGAACATGTCTTCTATTGCTGTCAATGTGCGGGTTCCAAACTCATGTATAGCAGATATTCTGTGATACTTATGTTTTGAATGGTTTCCAAACTGAAAGTAGCTAGGGGCAGAATTTTTACCGATAGATTCAAACTCGTGTCACGTAGCACAGAAGTCAGAGATATTACAACTATCGTATTCGGCTTGATAATTGATCCTCTGCAGAAATTGAATGGGTTAGCCTTCGAGAAGTAATCGACATCATGGATATAATACTTAGCTTAGTGTTGACCGAATTGCATCAGTCAGCTGTACAATGCAGACAACAGGCCAGGTGACTTGCAGTGGTGTCCTACTTTGGTTTTCTTGTTCGATATTTCCAGGTAATCAGTGGGAAGCTTTGAACCTCGGTCAGTTACTCGTCAACAACCTCGAGGAAACTGATCTCATTTCAGAGATTCGAACTCCCATCACTCAGTAACGTTATCACTGTGTTTAATTTCATATAATCACACTGCATAAGTATAATTTTTTATTTGAATATTCTTATTCTTTCCACTTGACAACAGGCATACTTTGTTTAATCGTAAGCAGAACAATGTTCGCAGAGAGCCGATGGTTCAATTCCCGACCGACACACACACCTGTATGTTGCCTAGCCGATAGCAACCCTGGAAGGTGGATAGTTTGAGTGCGAGGCTAGCGACATAGTTACTCACATTTGAAAGATGAAGCCTAAAGCCCTGTGTGTTCTACTTGGAGTGCAAAAGAGTGAGAAAAAACAGTGCTGAAAAATCAAAATCTATGTCTATTGTACTGAAACACTGTGAATTGTTGAATTTTTTCCCCTCAAAAAATACTAATAATAAACTTATTTATAGATTTAAACAATGTATCTGTTTTAAAGGTAATTGAGAATGTGAAGACTGTATCGTATGTAATCGCCACACATACACACACACACACAGACATAGGGCCATACAGATGTACATACACACAAACAAACGACTGGACTGAACATGATTGTTCTCTTTGTTTTTAGTCAATACTCATTTATAGAGAGAGAGAGAGAGAGGTAATGAATGACAATGATTTGGTCTATGATTTTTATTTGTCTGACAGATAGCTAAAGTACAGATTTTAGCTGTGTCAGTAGAAAAACATTGCAGAATTTATGAATCACTTTTGCTCACAAACACGATTATGCACTCCACAGTTTGATTGATGTTGGTTTTCAAAAACACTTATACAAAAGGACTTAGAAACTATTGTTGAATAATCTAAGGTATTCAGTGATTTTAGAACAATTTGATGGTGGTTAGAAGTGGAATTCTAAACTCTCTTTTCGTCCTGTTTGAAGCTCATCAGCTAAGTGTAGCTAAGATCTACATGAGTGATGATGTTCTCGTTGAGACATGAAGTCAATTAGTCAACCAGAAATTCAGACACAATAATTACGATTATTGAAGGTAATTTCATTCCATTTTGACAGTAAGATGAGCAGAAATTTAATGTAAAGGATAAATTCAGAACCATAGTAGAGTTGATTAACCGTATAAATGTAATGTAATCAGTTATTGAGAAAAGTACCTAGCTACTGGCTTACTCAGTTTTAACAAAGTTAAAAGACGAAAAACAATACTAGAGCCTATAAAATTTTAAACAAATATTCATCACTTCTCTCAGGAGTTTAGAGTTACGGAACATCAGTCCCAGTGGCTTAACGGTCTATGACCTCATCTTGTAATCAAAAGGTCCTGAGTTCGAACCCCAATGGGTGCGTGCTGCTGAAGAGTCCCGAACTAAGAAGAAACAGCCATCCAGTACTCCAAGGTTCTGCAATGATTCTCTAACCGATATCAGCTCATGATGAATATGATCCTGATGAGTCAACATTGTTCCATATCCGCAACAGTCTCCAAACTGTTGATTTTTGAAGTCCCAAGGTCTGCAGTCAGACAGTCTACATCTTCTTTAGATGGTTCACACTAGCAGACAAGGACTGTAACTATTTCCCAGCATAATTCTGTATCATCTAACACTGATTGTCGAGAAAGATGATGATTCAGCATATGCAGCACATGTTCTTGCCATCCCTGTCTATGCAGCTTGACAATCTTCTCCCTTCTAACTTCATTGTTACTAACTTTATAATACTACCTAACACTAGAATTAGGACGTAGTAGCTAATGGTCGAAATTGGTTAATATTTTTTCAGATCTTTGACTTTCATCGGCTGCTCATGACAACTGTACAGAAACACCGGAGTAGACTGCTGTTCATCAGCACACATGTCCTCCTTTTAATGAAAAGCTGTAAATCATGCGTACAACAACTATTGAATATATTAAATGGTATCTTTTTGGTATGTGAGAAAATATTACCTTTCTACCTATGACTACAGCAATTAATGTCTACTAAATCAAATGTTAATTAAAAGTCGTAAAATAAAAAATATTTTAAAAAAAATAATCATCTCAAAAGTTTTAAAATATGCTCAAAAAAGTGAATTAATTTAAACAATAAAAGAAAGATGTTTACTACTTTTGCAGAATTGTTGTGATTCCTTTGTTCAATGTACAATGTTAAGCAGTTTATAGATTATACATTAAACTTCAACAACAACAACAACAAGTCAACTGACTGACATAAATTCATTATGAGTGATTGTTTTTAATGTATGCCGATTATGTTTAATAATCAGAGTAATAGTAGTTTAGTGTAATTAATAAGACGACGTTACACTGGATGACACGTCTATAAACACACATATATACATATACATAAGAACACACACTGTTTATTATGCATAATTTACTCCAAAACATTGCAAAATAGAACATGCCGAGACTGAAATTTAATTGTAAACTTGAGTTCTGGGTATTTCGAAGTAGCATCACAAATTATGACTGCCTGTGAATTATTGTCACCAATTAGTAAGAAAAACACAGAAGTAAACATGATACACAAAATATGAGAACTGTCTCGTTTGGTGATGCAGTATCGTCAGTTGTGAAACATTTAACTCACTTCCAATTTGTCCAATCACCCCTATCAATTCCGACGCTCCTGATAAGAATTGCAGTTGAACCACAACACTATCAGGCATGTTTTCAAAGGCACTATCAACCTCACAGCCATTTACTACGCTAGCCAACTGTGTTCTATTATGGACAACACGTGGATGTCTATGACTTACTAAGAAGTCTTCGCACTGCTGGTATCTTTGAAAGTACACATAGGGAACCAATGAAAAACCTAGGAGTACTAGACAGCTGTTTCGTCCTAGTTTCGGACTCTTCACGATGAAATCCAGTACTTGAAAATTCAGCATTCAAATTCAATTCAGTGGCTGAATAATGAGGAACCTGATTATTCTACGATTCATCTTGAATGGAATCATGGAGCTTGGTTGCACAAGAGTAGTGACAGGCTACGATGAAACAGGGGTGTTCAATATCTCCTGTTTACTCACTTTACAGTTATTCAACGTTTCACCAGTTAACACCATTTCTTCACAAAAAGCATATACACCTCCTATAGGCATAATGCAGTCATTTCTGTGTGCATAGAAAAATTATTTAGGCTTATAATAGTTTGAAGCTCAATTAGTAGTAGGAAAATGGACGCAGATTTTTATGACACACAACCAACATATATATACATATAGTCAGCGAGCTTGATAATTTGTTTGGACATGAAATACAGAGTGTTATCAATTCTATTATGGGTAAAAATTTGTTTTGATAAAGTCTCACAGTGTTATACAGTAATGTTTACTGATGACAATTCGAGCACAATTTATGGCCTCTCATAATCATATCAAGGCACTCACATAACTTTCTAACTTCGTTTATACAATTCCACTATTTTTCATCGTTTAATTTGATTGGTAGTAGTATCTTCCATATTTCGGGTATGAGTGGTCAGTCATTCCTATCGCATGTGTTGGGTGTAGACTCGATGAACAAAGATTCAGTAATCAATTCTACGTAGGGTTTCAGATGTCCCCTTCCTTATATGGTATAACTGTAGATGACTTATATTCTCTCTGATTTATGTTATTATTAATAGTTTCACAATTATTTTTATTTTTCGTTTTGCCTTTTTCGATCTTCCTAATGAATTTTAAAGGATAGTTATTTAACACCAAAGCCTCTTTTATCTGTTTTAGTTCATCATTTAGGTTTTTTCTTGTGCTACTTAGTGCTACTGCTCGGTTTGTTAAACACTTAATTAAGCCTGCCCTTAACAGTTAACGGATGAGATGAATTAAAGTTTAAGTATCTATTAGAATGAGTTGGTTTTCTGTACACACTAG